TCGGAGAGCTCATCGGAGAGCTCATCGGAGAGCTCATCGGAGAGCTCATCGGAGAGCTCATCGGAGAGCTCATCGGAGAGCTCATCGGAGAGCTCATCGGATCACAGCCGATAGTCATGACTGAAAGTCCCAGCCAGCTTTTATGTCAGCTGCCCTAAGAAGAAACTTGAAATTAATGTGTCTCTTCCATCTTTAAATATTTTGATAAAAGTTCAATTGCTAGGATATTAATTTGACATTTCACCCCTATCGTATTATACTCTAGTAAACAGGAAGTCGCTATGCAGCTGCCTTGCCCCACAGCAAGTTAAAATTCTAAGCCTAGCATGTTTCAGCCATTTTACTTAGATGGTATTTCATTGAAAATAGGGTGTGAAAAGTACTAACCTGAGTGTGAATGCAGCTGAATCCTGATCGTTCCTTAGTTCTCCGTTCCTCATCTTTTGCATTTGTTTGAAAATGCCCTTGCAGACGCTCCGGCTGCATTCTGCCGCTCTTGTCTTCCTCATTCTTCTTTCTTCGCTGCAGACTTTGGTTTATGAATTTTCTAATGCGCTGCTTTGAAAGGGTGAACAGTCACACATAATGGAACGGTGTGGCCTCCAGCCGCATGACTGGGAGCTGGTCTATTTTTCCCCGTTAGGAGGTCAGTTAATGTGCTCCATTCTGTGCCTTTCCTTTAGCTCTTTAGTGAAAATGAGAAATAAAAAGCTCAACTGTTGGTGTCAGGATGTGAAGATCCATGTGACCTCATTCATGCCGGCAGTGTTTGGCTTGTTTCTTGGGATGAGGTCATAAGGTCAGAGTCTGTTTCCCTGTTCCCTGCCCTCAGCTGGTCTCTGTCAAGCTCGGAGCAGTTTGCGCTGCGCTACGCCGACGGCCCACAGCTGTATATCACTGAGCAGGTGAGTGAGGCCTTTCTGGGGGGGGGGTTCAGGTGGTGCAAGCTGTGTGTTTCTGTGTGTGAGGATTGTGTAGGGTCTTGTCTCTCCTGGTAAAACACCTGCGTCCACACATCTTTCAGAGCCGTGGGGAAATCAAGAATGGCACCATCCTACGACTGGCCATATCTCCGGTAGGCTGCTTTTACCATCCATCCATCCACCCATCTATTCATCCATCCATCTAGTCCTGGTCAGGATCACAGGGCCATTTTTACTTGGTCATTGAGGAGATCTGTATGCCGTCTCCTGCATCTCGTCGCTTTATTCTTTGCCAACACACGATCCTCTCACTCTAGCTGATGGCCAAGTTCTCAACCAGCACACTCACTGCTGCTCTTTTACCCATCATGCTCATTAAACTCCATTCGTTATCTGCTCTCTAATTGGTCTTAATCCGATTTAAACCAGTTTTCACATTTTAAATAAATTGAGAGATCGGTGGATTTGGCTCATTAAAAGAATCTCCAATAAGAGCCATGCCCAATTAGCAGTATTAGCATGGATCTAATTGGCTTAACAAGCTCGTTAGTCTGCTGAAGGCGGTGTCATGTCCCCCCCGCTCCCCCCCCGCAGACCCGTGCCGCGAGACAGCTCCTGGAGAGGATCCAGTCCCACGGGATCGACGCACGCCTCGAGGCCCTGAAGGAGCTGGCCAAGCTATCTGCCGACCCAACCTTCGCTACCGAGTTCATCAACCTGGAGGGCATCGGGACCCTGGCCCGCCTGGTGGAGAGCGGCACGCAGTAAGGAGGGTCTGGCTGGACGCGGCCGCGTGAAATCTGCTCACCGCTCACACTTCACACGCTCACACCCCCTCACAGATGCCACCGTCACAGGGTTCAGGCACAGGCGGGATCACTGCCGTAAATCAAGATGCTAATTGCTGGCGGTCCCGCCTCCTTTGCCCGGTCATTGCAGCTTCGGCGAGATGCTGGCCTTCACTCTGACTGCCTTCCTGGAGCTCATGGACCATGGCATCGTGTCCTGGGACCTCATCTCTCTGTCCTTCATTAAGCAGGTGAGAGGACATTTAATACTGAATGAGTTATTCCATTAAGGACCACAAGTTGCTATATTTGCAGGCAGAATCGCTGGTGAAATCCGCGTGTGCCATACTGACTGCTCGCTAGGTGGCCGGCTCTGTTTGCGTACGGGTGGAGACCGGAAATCACTGTTAGCTCATGCGGTTCAGTCTCCGGGCCTGTGGGGGCACCTCCGAGAACAGCCAGGTCATCATCATTCAAAAGTGAACATCTCAGTGTATTTAACTCATCAATACTCCAAATTCCCTGGTACTCAGAGAACGATAAATATAATGCATGTTAAATAAGTACTTAATTAAATTACTTCAGAATACCATACAAATAATGTATATTAAATAATATAAAAATAATAAAAATAATTCATACTCAGAATACCATACATATAGTCCATATTAAATAAGGGTTCCATACACACGGTCCATATTAAATAAATACTTTATATTTAGAGTACTATGCATATATTGCATATTAAATAAGTGTTTTAAATTCAGAATTCCATACACATAATGCATATTAAATAAGTACTCTATACTCAGAATACCATTCATATAATCCATCCATCCACACATTTTCTGTACCCGCTTGTCCTCCAGCACTTTTTTGCCCTCGATTGTCAGAGAGGTTTTATGAGTATGGTGGCCAGGTACAGAAATGGCTGCATCCAGTAAATGGAGATCTTAGTAAGCACAGCGTATGAGAGGGTTTATGAAGCCAAGCAGCGTGGTCTTACCGGCGACTCCCAGTGGCCAGTGACTGAAGGCCGTGACTCTTAGCGAGTGCCCTCTGTTTTGACTTCTGGCTGAATCCTGTGCAAAGACAGGAGTCCAGCAAAGGGACATCTGCTGGATGCTGATGCTAACAGCCGCTCCTGGGAGAGCGAGGTTTCGGGCGTCCCCCGTCCTGCCCTCGATACGCACACGCTGGCTGTCCGTATGTACATACAGCTGCCAGTTCAACAGTCTTTTTATTCCTGGACACCCATAATGGGGAAATACGGGGGCGGGGGGTGTTTTCACTGCTGGACTTATTACAGGAAGCCTGTAGTGCTGTGTTTTGTCGTAAATACGTCTGCTCTTTCCTCAAAGGCAGAGTGGCAGACAGATTGATGCCTTTGACACATTTACATGTGTAGAGCTGCTCCGTGTAGCAGTTTTGGGAGTTGTTCTTGTTGCCCTGTCTGGTATGTTTGTTGAGAAGCACACACTTTTCCTAGTAATTTTAAGGCTGTATAGCCGATTCCGTTGTTCCTCCTCGTGAACTTTGACCTCTGAAAAGCTGCCTGGACTGACGTGATGAGTGGGCGGCTGTTGCCTAGCAACCCACAATGTTGGCCTCCATCTATGATATCCCGGCTCCTGCCAATAATTTCCTGCATTTGCAGCTTTCTGCCTTCGAGCCAGTTCCTGGCTCTCGATAAGGACCAAGAGTCATAATTGAGCCTCATTTCTCATTCTTGCCTTTTTTTGCTGGGGATCTAATTCTCCTTTACGATTCACAAGGGTTTCATCCGGATTATTGAATGTCATCAGTGGTCCTCAAAGGCATTCTTCCACACTGGCATTCTTTGGACACTTTGCTGTGGTCGCTATGAAACATTATTCACGCAGCAGCACGTAATGCATCAGCCTCACCCACTTTTTTTTTTCAGATCGCCGGCTACGTCAACCAGCCCATGGTGGACGTGTCCATCCTGCAGCGCTCGCTGGCCATCCTGGAGAGTATGGTGCTGAACAGCCACAACCTCTACCACCGGGTGGCGCAAGAGATCACCGTGGGACAGCTCATCGCGCACCTGCAAGTGTGAGCACACACCCACGCACAGCGAGCGAGCGCACGGGCACGGCTCTCTGCGGTCTGGGCACCGTGGGCGTCTGTCGCAGCTGAAGGAGACCCATGCATCTCTATGCGTCTACATGCTGCAACTCTGTGTGCAAATGGGCACCACATGCACTGTGTGTTTACATAATGTATATATAGGTACATGTTCCTCTGTCTGTTCATATCACTGTGTGGGTCAATAAATTAAAAATATATTTATTTTGTTGCTGCAGGTGTAGTTATTATCAGTATCAGTATTGTCATGTTTAATGATAATTTATGATACAGCACATTATTGGTGTATAGGTGTCCCACAGAAGCTAGTCTTTCCCCCACTGTGGTTGAAATGCTATTTAAAGGCTCCTTCATCTTCTCCCCTCTCTCGCTGCCGCACCGTCAAACATATGGCTCCCCTTCGTCCTTCACACGAATAGTGCGCGGGGTCAGCTTTTGGCTCTCGGACAGGGCAGGCGGCGTTGCACGCGGCCGGCTCTCTCCAGGCATGACATCCGGGCCCTTTGGGCCTGTGGGTCACATCCGGGCCGGGCCGGGCCGGGCCGAGGTGCCAGGGAAGTGCGAGAGCAGAGAGGGATTAGGAGCGGGGGGCACCTGACGGCCGCCTCCGGGTAACGCCGGTGCGCCGTGGGGTCCTGCGTGGCCTCGGACCCTCTGCTGCCGTCTTTCTGAGGCCTTACTGCAGAAGATCACAGAACCAAACAGGCTGTGGTCTTATGCCTAGTGTGTAGTTTCAATTACCCATGGTATGAAATGGAAAATTCCCAGTGTAACAAAAAAATCCTAAATTTTAAATTGGGCACCATTCTGAGTAGCGTAATGAAATCTCATGCCGTCCTGCCCGGGGACGTAAATCACCCCTCATCCATGATATCCACGCCGTTTACCCATTAGGCACTTAGTAATCTTCGCAGTTATCAGATCCGTATCGCATTTGACTTCATTCATGTAACTTTACTTGCAGTATATTGTGTTATAATTGTCCATTTTTACTATTAGTTAAGTTTCTTATTCTGCCTGATTTATAAATTAAACGTTATGATACGTATACATGTATAGGAAAAAATATTATGTATAGGGTTGGTTACTATCCATGGTTTCAGGCATCCGTGGATAAGGGGGGGCACGGTATATATGTTTAATTAGCTTTTCCTGGGGGGTATGAGAGAGAAAATATAATGTACCCCTGATAGCAGCAGCGTGACCCTCGTCACCTCAGGCTTTTGCGCTGAAATGATCATTTCTCTCCTGTTTCTCTTCCACCTGCAGCGCTCAGTTAGCAGAGTGTGCCACGATAATTAAAACATGGCTAATTAAAAGAATTCTAAGGAAAATGGCAGGAAAAGTTCTAAGGTGTTAGAACTTCATATAAATGTTAAATGATTGTTTTCTGGCTTGTTGTGTCCTTGTCATCCAGTCAGTACTCATGCGCTTGGTCATCACTGTTGTATCGAGAAATAGCAGAGAGAATGTGGGAATAAGGAGGGCTGGATACTTCTGACTGTCTGCTTCTGCTCTGCTGTCATGCCTTCAGGTCCAATCAGGAAATCCAGACGTATGCCATCGCTCTCATCAATGCCCTGTTCCTCAAAGCCCCTGAGGACCGGCGCCAGGTCAGTGTCAGTCCCATGCCCCCCCTGAGACACAGAGACACACACACACAGGTTTTTAATTATATCTTTGTGGGGACTCTCCACTAATTTCTATGGGGAAAACTCTAAATCCAACATGACGACCTTAACGCCTACCCATCCTTTAACCATAAGCAACCAAAGAAATGGTCCCCACAACGACAAAGAAACAGGTTTTTTATTACATTGTAGGGGGCATTTAATCCACACACATACACACATAGAAGAGCGCCCCCTATAGGCAGTGTGCAGGGGTGAAGGAGTCTTCTGTTTTCTGCCCTGTGTTTTATTGTTCTCATAGCAACTGAACAATTAAGCAGAATGCCAGTATGGCTGTCATGGAAACCCTCCTCAGTTCAGATGAGTGTTGGTGTTTAGCTCAGGGACTTAAGGATCTAAAGCCCGCGTCCAGAAGGTTGTGTTTACAAATCCCCTCTTGACTGAGTGACCTTTAGGCCCTTGAGCAAGGCCCCGACTGCTCCAGGGAGTCTATCTGACCCTGACATTTTGGGCAAAAGTGTCCACTAAATAAATTAATGGAAATGTTGCCTTGGTGTTTCTTCACTGCTGTTAGCTGAGGCTTTCCCGATCACGATTTTAGAACACGGGATTCTTGGCTCCCGCTTCTGATGACTTTTACACCAGTGTAAAACCTGTAGCCTCCAGTATAAGTGGCGGAGCGCCATCTGGTGTCACATGACAGTATGTGGCAGCAGCAAGGAGCCGCTGCAGCTTTTGAGTTTGGACCGAAGTTGGCTGCAACTTTATTTGATCTGTCACCCCAGAGGGGCCGAGTCTCTTCCTCTGGCAGCTGGACTCTGCTGTGCCACGCTCTGTGCCACACTCTGTGCCACGCTCTGTGTGTGTGTGTTTAACGCGCTGCATGTGCCTGCGCGGCATGTGTGTGCGTCCGTGTGTGCTTCTGCCGCCTTGTCCTTGCCTGTGTGTAAGTCGGCGCTCTCTGTGCCCATCGCTGTCACATCTGCATCCCTCGCTCTTGTTCCATCCCTGCCAAACCGCCCCGTTCCTGCCCTGCCTTGCCCCACCCCCAGGAGGAACATATTAACCTGCAGGACCTCCGCCTCACCGTGAGTACCCACCTCTTCCTCCACCTCACCGCATTGCTCGCAGCGCTGACTCCGCCCCCTGAGGTGCCCCCCCCCTCCGCTCCCTCTGCCCATGTGAATGTGCTCCCCGCTCCTCCGTATTGTGGCCAGCGCACGATATCCTCTTTCAAGGCCTGAGCCTGTCCAGCGGAGACGGCTGTGTCTGCTGGACAACAGACTTTTCAAGCTGAAATTCAGCCCCATTGGCTCCCTGGTGGTCATGTGACCCCCCCCCCAAGATGTGTCTTTGGCTGGCCTTGCTCTCCCTGGCGAGCTGTTAGAGGTGTGTCCCTTTGCAGGAAATGGCAAGCAGCCTGGCCCAGAAGCACCTGAGGTCCATCATCCTCAACGTGAGTCCGCCTCTCTCTGCCTGCTTAAACTTCCTGTGTTAAAATTCACTTAATAACCAAGAGTACAGTGGTACTTTAGTTCTCGAACTCATTAGAACTCGAATTTCTTAAAAGTCGAACCAACCAGTTTGGAAAAAAAAAACCTAGAGCTCGATCTGAATCTCAGAAGTCAAACCATGAACGCCGACCTAAGATAACTTGTACGTGTGGGGAAATGAGTCACGCCGCACGTCTCTCAGCAGAAACAAAGGGTAACGCTTCAGTCTCAGCCTCACATTCGCTGTGATAGCATCGTGCGTGTTTACACTAGCTGAATACATATACTGTATTTAGACAGTAAAATACATTTAGACAATGATATACAGTAACAGTAATTATTATATAATAAAATACATTTAAAAATAAAGATTTCTTATTAATTATTTTAATATTAATAATAAACCATTAATACATTTAATTATAATAATGTTGTCGTGCCGAGCGGGGCGGAACGGAGACAAAGGCGCAGACGTCAGGGTATCGGGAAATACGGGGTTTAATTACAGGTAAGGCAGGCAAAACGCAGACGGACAATACAATGACCGGACTGGGGAGACAAACTGAAACGCGGACTAAATACAGAGGACTAATGACAACAACCAGAAACAGCTTATTCCACACGGGGATTCCACACGGGGTTAATGAGGGGGCGTGGCACACGGGAGGAGCGGACGATCGGGGCAGGAAACATTGTTTGGATACATTTATCTTCTTACTTTTATTAATGTTTTGATAAATGTGTTTAGATGTGTTTACTACAGTATATCTTCTTCTTGTTTTATCCGATTCATTTTGTGCTTAAAAGCTAAAAAAAAAAAAAATTTCGATGTAATGTTTGGGGCTGGGAACCAATTAATTGGTTTTCCATTATTTCTTATGGGGAAAATTTGATCAGAACTCGACCTTTTTAGGATTCGAGCCGCAGTTCTGAACGGATTAAGTTCGAGTTCTGAGGTACCACTGTATTTATAAAATGGTCTAATATAAAATACCATGAAAGTGCATAGGAAAATGATCATTTCTTGTTCTTGTCTTGTGATTTGTTGTTTAGTTTGTTATTCGAGAAACAGGAATAAATATTAATGTATCTCTTTGATGTGGAAGTTTTTCTTCTTATTCTTGTTTACAAAGAAAATGATCAAAAATATTAGTGAAAATCTTCTCAATCTGAATTAGTATAGTGTTGTATTTAAACTTGCCAATGAATGGTGTTTTTCCCCTAAATGTTCCCTGTTCCCTTCTGTAGCACATCATTCACGGGAACCGGCCAATCAAAGCCGAGATGGCGCATCAGCTGTACGTGCTGCAGGTGCTCACCTTTAATCTCCTGGAGGAGCGCATGATGACCAAGATGGATCCCAGTGATCCGGTGAGCTTAAAACACCTATCATTTACTCTGGAATGTAACCCTAATACTTGATTCTAACCCATCCGTGGTTTTCCCTGGAATTGAATTCCCTAACGCTAAACCCTAAAGCACAGGTGTCAATCTCCAGTCCTGGAGGGCCGGAACCTTGCACATTTTTGGGTTTCCCCTCATTTAACACACCTGATTCAACTCCTTGTGCTAATTACCACACAGGTCTTGAGCTGAATCATTTGTGGTGGAACAGGGAAAGAACTAAGCTACACTGGGCTCTGGCCCCCCATGCCTGGAGTTTGACACCCCTGCCCTAAAGTCTAATCCTGAACCCTAACCCATCCAAGGCTTACCCCGGAGTTTAATTCCCTATCCCTGAACCCTAAAACCCTGGAGTTTAATTCATTAGGTGGTGCCAGATAAGGGTCTTTTAATCTGAATGCTTTTTTTTCTTTTTTAAATTGATCTGTTTGTAGTGTGATTAATGAAATGGGGCAGCTCCTCTTTATCCAGTGAAATACCCACACTGTGCTACAGTTGTTGGATATTATCCTGCAGTCTGTAATGTCAAGTTCACTTTCCACTTGGCTAAGCACTTGCCTTCCTGCCGCTAGCTGGCAGGCGTCTTAACAACGTGTCACCCCCCCGCCCCCGACAGACGCAGAGGGACATCATCTTCGAGCTGCGCCGGATCGCATTTGACGGGGCCAATGACCCCGGCAACACGGAGAAACGCAAAGCCATGCACACGAAGGACTACAGGATGCTGGGCTTCACGGTCAGCCAGCCCTACAGGGGGCGCTGTCATGCCACTCATGGGCATGAGTTTCACTTATAAGAATCAGCACTATTCATTCACTTTGTAGTCATGTTTTCATAAGTATGTTAAAGTTTCTTTCGGATATGTTCTGATGTTAAATATGTTCAGTTAAATTCAAGTTTGTCATATGCACAATAAGTAATCAGTTACACAATACAATGGGGATGCATTCCAGTTAAACATACATACAAATTAAGATGCTAAAAGCAGGCTACAATTAAACAGTAAGTCTTTAAGAGAATAAATATGAGTACGATTATGACAGTAAATACTTAAACACAGTGTAACACAGACGTTAATGTGAACAAGGCTGTAATTAGAGCGTTATCTCTCAACCTGCCCCTCAGAAAGGCAGGCCTGGGGTTCCCTGAGGTTTGACAAACACTGAATTAGACGGCTGCTCTGCGGATTGTCTGTATTTAGACTCTGGTGTCCCCACAGAACCATGAGAACCCAGCTGTGGACTTCATGCAGACCCCCCCGGGGGTGCTGGCGCTGGACAACATGCTGTACCTGGCCAGGCTGCACCAGGACACCTACATTCGGGTGAGAGGTGCTGAGTGTCGGTCCCGCTGCGGCAGGCTCTGCCCCAGGCCCGGCCCCTCATGCAGCCCGCGCATCTCCAGAACTGGGTCATCCTTAAATATATTAGGAGGTCTTCTGACTTAGAATACGTTCAAAAATGCATTTGTCTTCTATAAGATGTGTGCTTCAATATTTCCTTCTCTTTTGCTTTGAGTGCAGTTTTACACATTTATATTTATGAAGGAGGGTAGAATTATCTTGGCCGTGTTTATGGTTGCTGCTTAGAAGTGTGGCCGGCGTGCCCCCTCGTGGTGGACGGGTCGCGATGAGGCGCCTTGCCGTTTCTCGCCTCAGATCGTCCTGGAGAACAGCAGCCGTGAGGACAAGCACGAGTGTCCCTTCGGCCGCTGCGCCATCGAGCTGACGCGCATGCTCTGTGAAATCCTTCAAGTGGGTGAGCTGCGTAGGTATCCCCTCCCTCACCCATTTACCTCCATGTTATGGATCAGTGCCTGTATCCAGATGGTCATAGGTTCAAATCCCTGAGTAATGATATCACCGATTAGGTCCTAGAGCAAGGCATTTAATCCCAACTGCTGATCCTGCTCCTGGGCATAGGTGCACTAGCATAAAAGTTCACAAAGCAATTGCCCAGATTAAAACATTGTACACCAGATACGGTTTGGGATAAACTCGGGATGCATCATTTCTAACTTCTTTGCATCAGTAAAATCCGATTTATTGATATATAATTATTAGTAATGACCCTATGCTTTTGTTATTTAGAAATGTGGGCAATACTTTTTGACCAATAATTTTATATTTAGATTGATTTCCCCTCTCTAAACTCTTTCTGTATCTGTACCATATTGAATTGCAAAGCATCATATTGTTTTGTATGGCATCGTATCGTGTCGAAATGCACGGCATCGCAATAGGGCTGAATCATAAGGTATCACGTTAGCAGCTGCTTCATATGTATCTGTGATGTTCCGGGTCACTCTCAGTGCATAGAGATGTGTGTCACGTCAGCTTCTGTGATGGAGATGCACAGTCTGCTCCTGATCACTAACCCTCCTCCTGCTTACTAATAATAAGATGTTCTGACATTTTGTGTCGTCTCTGCCGTTAAGCGAATGAGGGATGCAATGACTACCACCCCATGTTCTTCACGCACGACCGGGCCTGGGAGGAGTTCTTCTGTGTCTGCATCCAGCTGCTCAACAAGACCTGGAAGGAGATGAGAGCTACAGTGGAGGACTTCAACAAGGTTGGGCGCCCACTTCCTCTTCCTGGGACGGGGGCGTATGACTAATCCTGAGTGATATCCGGGGGGGTGGGAGGGCAGTTGCCTTGTCTGATCTCCGGGATTCATTGTGAACAGACCATTCAGATTCAGGAGTGGACATGTGTAATGGTTTAGCTAGAAACCAAATCCTTCTTTTTATTTAGAGTTGCTGTGTGGGGCAGTAACGGCCAATTCGTACTTCAATTTTCGTCTGCAGATGAGGGGATGTCAATTTCGTCATCAGGGGCTGACTGCAGTCGGTGCTTGTAGCCCAGATATTTATGTCAGGCAGAAACCGTGTGCGTGAACTGCCCATGTGCAAGATGATTAATTAGGAATTTCCAGCAGGTGGCAGCACCGACTTTCAGAGATCAGTGGTCAACAACAAAAGAGAAGAGGAAGAATAGTTATTGTTGTAGTAGTTATGGTGCAGTGGCATGAAGAGGGTTGGAGGTACCCGCTTATGAAATTTTGCATGCGGGTTGGGGTCCCGGCTAATTTTGTTATAAGGATTTCAGAATACCGCGTCATGCCTTATTACCGTAATACCGTCCAAGCCTTCACTAATAACTTTAAAACTGTTCAAAAAAGTTGACCCATTTCACTATACTGCTTGTATTTGTGTTTCTGGCAATACATCTGCCTCCCCCCCCCCTCTCGTCTGGTGGGATATCACTGCTGTATGCATGCACCGACTGCAACCATCTGCATCCACAGCCAACTGTAGTGTGAACACAAACTGCTGGGCGGATGACTGTCCCCAGCCCAAAAGCGCATGCAGAAAAGTGAAGCATGAAGTGGGCTTTATGGCAGAAGGTTATTGCAAAGGACAGATACCAAATTCAGTTGTGTTTCTGTAAAAGCCAGTAACTGTTGCTACTGATTCTGAAGTGCTGTTGGAATGTTTTTTAGAAGTGCACTGCAAGGCTCCAGGGCTTTCTGGTTAGATGGCAGGTGGATGTACTGGGTTGGCATCTCGACACTGGTTTCGAGTCAGACCCCTGCTGATCTCTTGTGTAAGCAAAGCTGTCACCCCTCTGGTGACCTGCAGGTCATGCAGGTGGTCCGGGAGCAAATCACCAGAGCCCTGGCCATGAAGCCGTCGTCACTGGACCAGCTGAAGAGCAAACTGCGGGGACTCAACTACTCGGAGATACTGCGCCTGAGACAGTCTGAGCGAATGAGCCAGGATGACTTCCAGTCCCCACCAATCATGTGAGGCCGCCGCTGACGCCCATCCACTCTTACCCTTCATATAGTGGCCACATATATTCTACAGCCTGAACGTTTTGACAGGGGGGGTCATGAAGCCAGTCAGGCTGCATTTCAGCACTTGGTGTCAGTTTGTTCACGTCAGCATCATACATTAGTGTAATGATCTGAATGGGTATAATGGTACTATAATGATAAGCTGAAAAGCAGCCCCACACCATGATGTTCGCACCTCCAAACTTCACTGTGGCCGGTTTATGATGAAATGATGTTGTTTCCATTTCCGGATTATGGCCCCAACAGTCCTCACTGGAACATTCAGAAGTTTAGAAATCCTTCTGTAACCAATGGCATCGGTATGTTTTGCAACAATAAGGTTGCGAAGGTCTTGAGAGAGTTCTTTGCTTTCACCCATCATGAGATGTTTCACCAGTTGGGACTGAACCAGCTGATATTAATTTGCACTGAAAAGGGTCAGGATTGCTTTCTGATTACGGATAGATTTCAGCTGGTGTCTTGGCTTTTGGTACCTTTTTGCACCTCCATTTCCTCGTGTTCATATGTATGTATGTGTGTAATTACCCATATCTATGTATATGTGTGTAATTATAATATTTCTAGTATATAAAGTATATAGTCCACTGATAACCTGTGCGTCTTTGCCGTCAGTGAGCTACGTGAGCGCATCCAACCTGAGATCCTAGAGCTGATCAAGCAGCAGCGTCTCAACCGGCTGTGTGAGGGAAGCTGTTTCCGGAAAGTCGGAAACCGCCGGCGGCAAGGTGGGCTGCCAGCCGCTCCTCCGCGGGGAGAAAGACCGTTACATCCGTCCTCGCTGCCATCCATCTGGGCATTACTCATTCAGGGCGTACTCTGGCCCTGTGGCACCTGGGCAACTCCTGGCTTCTCTATGACCGAGCCAGATGTGATTTAATTGCTCGGCTGATGCTTATTGCCCGAAATAATGTACGGCAGTGTTTTATGCTGTGACTACACTGTACAGTCCTGCTTATCCCCTCAGCCCAACCTGCGTCTCTGAAGCTCCAAAGTCAGATCCTCCACTGTATGAGTTGTCTCATGGTTGATGGCTTGTGTCCAACTCTCATAACCTCACTGCCCATTTTATTCCTCTTCCTCCTCCCCAAGACAAGTTCTGGTTCTGCCGCCTGTCCCTCAATCACAAGGTGCTGCACTATGGCGACCTGGACGAGCCCCCCCAGGGTGAAGTGCCTTACGAACTGCTCACCGATAAGAGTGAGTCCCCTGATGAGCGCAGAGGTGTGGGAGCCAGCTAGGGGCCTGCCATGTGGGGGCGGGGCTTGGCCTGACCTTTTGGGAGCAACGGGGTGACGATCAGCAGTTGCATAACTTATTGAAGGGCAGGAATGAGTCGGCGACCTTTGTGGGGAGGGGAGTGGGTTTTGTAAGCGTGGGTTTGCCCCCTGAGGCTGGGGAGGATGTGAGGTGAGCAGCTTTAAGGTCCAGCTGCGTAAACGAGAACATTTTTAGGTGTGGTGGATAAGCGTGGATTTGTGTGACAGAGGAGTTTAGGAAGTGAGGCAGACGTTTTATGGTCCTTCTCTTTCTTCTCTGCAGTACCTGTGTCTGACATAAAGTCTGTGGTGACAGGGAAGGATTGTCCTCACATGAAGGAGAAGACTGCACTGAGGCAGAACAAGGTGGGGCCCTGCTGCAGTCACGGCACCGCAGAGCTGCCCTGAGAGAGGAGTAAAAAGCACAGGGACACAAACAGAAAACCATCAACTTGCACATTAAAACAGGAGCGAGACCCAATGGCTACCAATTTTGGTTCACCGCAGTAAATATCCCCGCAATAGAGCCGTGTTACAAGGGAGTGGAGAGGAAGGTGCGGGAATGTTATTTGGGGACGTGGGCAGAGGCAGGTTTGACAGAACCGGGGTGGGGGGGGAGGGGGCAGGAGAAAAGAGTCAACATGAGAGGAAGCACACAGGAAAGCAGCAGAAGCCTAGGCTGTTATATAATGGATGTTAACAAGGCAGTAATATGCTCATCACATGACCACGCCCCAGCCCAGGATGACCACACCCCTCAAGCTGAGTGTTTGGTATATAGATTAATAACTGAGAACCTCATTAAGTGCCAGCTAACCCTCATTTTTCTCATCTGTAGGATGGTCTAGAACTTGCTTTCTCCATCCTCTATGACCCTGATGAAGCTCTGAACTTTGTCGCCCCAAACAAATATGAGGTGAGACATGGATTTCCAAAGTACCCTTCCTGGGTGTTCATTTAATGGCTTATAAAAATAGGCAAGTATAGCCATTCCTCTGGAGATTGTCTGAAGGCATTCTGCTGGAATCGAAGTGTGTGGAGGTTAAGGAGCAGAAGACTGGGGTGAAGTAGTCGTTTGCAAGGTGAGGGTTACTGTTTGACGCACCAGGAGGGGCCATTTATTGAATACTAAATATGTAAGGGCTGTATTTGAATGGATAGACGTGGAGTAAGGGTTTGTGACCTTGACTGCGTTTCTGTGCCTCAGTACTGCATCTGGATCGACGGGCTGTGCGCGCTGCTGGGCAGGGAGATGGGCAGCGACCTCACACGCAGCGACCTTGACACACTCATCAGCATGGAGATGAAGCTCCGCCTCCTGGACCTGGAGAACATCGCCATTCCCGAGGCCCCGCCCCCCGTGCCAAAGGAGCCCAGCACCTACAACTTCACCTACAATTATGGCTGAAGGCGTGGGTGGGAGGGCTTAGGAAGGGTGAGGGAAGGGGGAAGAAGAGAGATTCAGCCCCCGCCCCTACAGGCCTCCTCTGTAACACTATGTAAGAGGAGAACTTCAGTGGGGCAAAGAAAAATGAAACCATTTTGACAATATGCAGTCTCTTCTCGATTCATGCCCTTACATGTGTTTCTAAAAGGGTTGTTCTATTAATACCGTAATCCAACACTATTGAGCCTTATCAGCTGCAGTATCAAGATTTGTCAAGTATTTTTTTAATTTAATTTTTTTTTCTTGCGTTAATCCATGGCTTTACCAATGTTCTAACCAAGCTGTTCCGCAGCTTATCCGCGTTGACCGGTACTGTAGAGGTTGGGTCTTTCTAAGGTTACTGTCACCAGTAGCTGTCCCTTTTCTGTCCGCTAATTCTGTACTAATCTCCATTGATTTTATTATGCAGAATAGATTCTATTTTTGTAAAGGAATATATGAACCGAGCCCAGCATTGAAAGGGATCTTTATTCTGAGTAACCTCAGCCTTTCAGCCTGATGTCCTTTGAAAATGTGTGGAAAAAGCGTGTATAGACACCTTCTTCATAATTCTCAGATAGCTATATAATGAATTGCCTGTTTGTTTGATGTAAACACTAGAAATCTACAACATCCTCGTTATCTGCCCTCTGTAAACGCTGTAGTTGCCCCTGTGGACTGTGTGTTGAACCGCTGTACAAAGACCAGCTACCATGAAATCGTCACAATGGTCCTCAGCAAGACTGATTTGCCTTTTGCACAGTAATTGTTGAGAGGTGTAAGTGAGAAAAGTGAGTATAAGAACAATAAAGTAAAAATAGACAAAACAGTCACCTGCGATATATATTAAAAATAAATTGAGAAGAACACTATATTAGAGCCTGTGTGGTTGAGATGGGAGGTATGTCATTCCTGCAAGTCTTTTGTTACATTAAAGTTCATTGCATGAAGTGCATCTGCTTTTTGTAGCTCCTGGCTACACCTGAGGGGTGTTCCACAAAACAGGATTTCTCACTTAGCAGGGTTAAATTAAGCTGAAGTCATGATTGTTCAATAAAAGTTTAGGTAAGGAGCATTCCTATTGGACTTCTGACTTCTGTCTTAAGCTAACTGAGAAGCCCTGCGTTGCGGAATGCTACCCAGGTGAACCTCAGTGTGGGGTGGTACCTGGCTGTAGCCTGTAATTTAACATGTTAGCTTTGGGTATGGACATCTATATGCATTGTGATGTCGCCCCTTATGACACATTGCTCTGTGCCAGTGTGGTAATTTATGTATGAAGCCTATATTCTGCAGTCACGGAGGATGATGTATGAAACATCTCCATGGGACATGGGAGTCAAAGTAAACCACGTCTATGATCGCATGGATCTGTGTGTAACCCGTGTGTGTGCTTGCGGATTCACATGGTTCGACATTTTTCCTGGTCTAAGTTGTGACGGCATGAGTTCTGCCTACCAACGCCATCAATTCTCTAAGGCTTTACAAGCAACACATTGCTTAGAAATTGTGAAATGGAGTGTGGCTGGTTTATTCCTGCTGGTCAGATTTGTGTTGCCTGTTTTTTTTTTCTCTTCTCATAAAGAGACCTTCTGTAGCAGTCCTGAGTAATATAAATGTGTGTATGTGATCAGCCAAAAAGGGGCGCTGAGGAGCCCTTGGACTCTTGCTTTGTGGTCAGACTTCTCCTGCAAAGTAGCAGGTACCCTAATGTTTACAGAACTAGAAGTCTAACAAAAACGTTGTAGGTCTGCATGCCAGGAGGGGACATTTTTGTTGTACCCACAAGAAAGTTAAATATTCTAATCTATAATTCTGATCTATAAATACATACAGCGATTTTATAAATGGGTTAAAATGCTGAACTGTAAGCCTTAAATTGCTTTTGGATATTGCGGAGTAACAGAGTGATTGTTATAGTGATAAAAATACAAAATAATGTTTTCTTCCTAGGCCTGTCATGTGTTCTGGGAACTCATTCTGATAGGCTTATAAAGAAATAGTCTGACCATAGGACTTTTTAAACGTTTTGCAATCTCTAACACAGGGTGCCTAATCTAAACTGCACAGACACATCCCACCGCATGAACAAGATACTTCTAAAGAATATACTGACATTATGGAGCTTCTTTAGCAGAGTTTTTCCGCTTCTGGTCACCCCATTCCAAAGACATTACAGGTTCCCCAGCTGTAATACCCAAAAGGTGTATAATGTCATAACAGATACTGTGTTGATCTGCTATAACAAAGGGACTCGTTAAGGGAAATCTGTTATATACAATCTAAGGGACCGGACATTGTATAGTGGCTGTGAATTTTGGTACCATTTAACATTATTTCATACTTAAGTAATTTCTTGTGAATGCTAGTAGTTATAGTGAATGACATGAGGTGTTGAAATAAAATATATTGTATAACCATACATATATGCATAAATATATATACATATATATATATATCTATAAATATAAATCTGTATATTTTGTGTTGCCTTACTGAGACAATTGTACCGAGTGAATAAATCAAAGTTCTACTGTTCTTTGTATTGTGGGCGACCTGCAACACCTGGCTACCACTAGACGGGTAAAATTCTATAAGGCAGCTGACTGCAATAATGCCACCACCCACGCACATGTTTTTTCTTCATTATGTTCGTTTACTGACTAGTTTCAAATGTTTATTTAAAAAGAGTGTCCTTTAGGATATTTTATTAGATCACAAATTTGAATCAATTATACGGCGGTACACTGGACATAGTTAAATGTCAGTTGCCTACTAGTTTGAATGTAAAATAAAACGTTATTGTTTATATAATAACGGGGTTTTTTTTCATGACAGCGCGATTGCTAACATGTTTTAATCACGTTTAAATTGGAATGTAAATGAATGTTACAGAATAATAAGATTAAAAACGGTGCTTCCAAGTGTTTGTATGACCTTAAACGAACTTTACGACACATTAGAAAAAAAAACTTAAACTAATAAAAAGCTCCCAAAATAAAATTGTCTATGACTCTTCGACCTATTATTGACTTAGAAAGTCATTTTTTCCCAATTAAAAATGTAGATACATTAGCTGGTTTTGCGGCAGTGCCCGCCTATCGCGATATGCACCGCCACCGAGTGACGTCATGTCGTAGAAGTGACGCGCATCTTTTACGAAATAAACTACAGATCCCAAGAACCCTTTCGGCCCTCCTTCGCCGCCCAGCTTGGTGGGCTGGCTTGTTACACTCCCACTGCCGGAAGGTTTGTTTGTATAGCTAGCTGTGGAGAATTAATAAAGCGCACTGTTTATTTTCTAGCACTTTTTAAATTTGCATAAACAGGAACGGATGCTTTAGTGGTGAGGAAGCAAGAAAGGCTGGCGCGTGTTTGCTCGGCATGACGTGCCCCTTCACAAGGCAATGTGGCCTGTTTTGACGACCATGAAGGAGGGGGATGTTGCCACCAAGCTTGCTAATTTCAAACCATGAGTGCAACTGCCGGAGATATCCCTGAGATTGCTGGAAGTGCAAAATAACAGTCTCTATGTCTTATGAAGGAGCAACGCGACGAAAACGCTGAAAATGTCCAAAATGAGCCGCACGGCAAGATGTACCTAAAGAAAACTAAAAGTGCGGGTGCCTCCTCTCCTTTGAATGGCATCGGAAAACATGGTAGGAGTTGTTAATTTGATATCCATTATCTGTTGTTTACGCTAAATGTGTTTATTGCTGTTCAAATGTATTTGAACCGTTTTCCTTTTATGGCTGCTGTCAATAAGTTCGCTTCTTGTTGCTTGTGTCTGTTATTTGTGAAACTAGAAACATGTCTTTAGCCAGCTCCGTACGATTTTAATACTATAAGGTAAAATAAATTTACAACAGAATCGTATCATTCCGTTTACATTTTACATACATTCGTGGTTACAGTACAGAAAAGCTCAGAATCGCACATTTCTGGCTACCTGGTGGGTTGGTTTATTTCCACTGTGTACATACTAAATTTAAAGACAGTGTTGTTTATTTAAAACCACATTAACGTTATCCTTTATTTTTATCATTATCTGACAAAAATCAGTAATAAAAGTTTCTGAAACCGCGGATTCTATGTTTCTTTATCGGCCATCTCCGACTGTGCGTATTAGCTGACAAATACTGACAGCGCTGACATGGTGCTCATGTTCATTCGGGGGTCGGTTACTTTAAGGCACTTGTAACACTCATTTTCCCGAACTGGGTCACTGGCATAAGCGCTCACTTGTGATTCAGGGCGCTTTTTTTGGCTGAGGAGTTCTGCTGTTTCCCCGGCTGATCTTCTCGGTCATGCGGCCAGACTGGGACTCGAAGAAGAAGAGGAAGATGTCCGAGATTCATCAGGCCCTGAACGGAACCCCGCCAGATGTGGCGGCTCTACGGAGGATGGCCATCAGCGAGGGGGGACTGCTGACCGACGAGATCCGCTGTAGAGTGTGGCCCAGGCTGCTAAATGTACAGACGGAAAACTTGCCTGAGAAACCAGGTAGAATATGGGGGAACAACGGGCAGTTGTCAACTACACCCAAGACAATGCATCTTTAAATAGCAGTAGCTTTGTTACGTGTGATTGGCCCAAACCTACATTTAAGAATATCTCATGCACTTGGCTGACTGTCCCTGACACAGCCATCAGTACTTGGCATTTGTGTGGAAAAAATATGAAGTCAACTCAGAACATCATAGCATCCGGTTAAATAACCTCATGTCAATATTGCACGTCATCTTAGTCTAGTGGACAGAGGGGACATTTGTAGTTTACTGCTTCTGGTCTTGCTTATCTTTGTGTTCCTAGCAGGGGAAGAGCTGCGAGAGAACAACAAAGACTACAATCAGGTGTTGCTGGATGTCAGACGTTCCCTAAGAAGGTTCCCTCCTGGTGAGTTTCTTTTCTGTTACCTGCCGATATCGATTAAATGACTAAATTGTTTCTTTAGAAATGGAGTAGAACTCAGCCTAGTGTCCTGGTAGAAGGTCATGTGTCATGCGAAAAATTATAGTAAGAAAAATAACTGCTTCATACATTTGCGCAGTATAAGCATTGAACACAATGTTTGTTTATTCCGAAATGGAAAAGAAACCATTAGCGTGCACAAACAGTTTCCAGTTCTTCAGATGCTGGGGGCGGTGTGTGGCTAAGTAGGTAATGACGCTGTACCCGTTATCAGGAGGTTGTCAGTTCGAATCCTTTCTTAGATGTCCTTTGCTTACAATAAAAGTGTGTGCTGTATAAAAAATATCAGTGTTCAGATGACATTTGAAAGAGTTCTTTGTAACGGGGAAAAAATAGCAGTCACTTCAGTGAACAAGTCAGAGCCACATCTGTGGCCTCAGTGGGTCTCAGCCTTGGAACTTCTGAAGGAAAAAAAATGAGACATGGAGATAATTTCACAACTTCTCTTTGGAAATGGGGGCACGGTATTAAGTATTGCTGATATTCTTTTGGAGCAAAAGTCATTTGGTCATGCTTTTGAAATTGTATGTTTACTGCAACATATTCAATTTACTTTAGAGTTCTGAACAGGATATACAGTAGTGTGATTTGCATCAATCATAATAAATGACCATAGTGCACTGATGAGCATTTTCACAAAAAATTTGGTCTTGGAACCAGAAGGTTTGTGAGTCAAAACCTAAATAAATGTAATATGATATAGATAGCAGCAAGCAGAACTGCATCAATAAAAAATTTAGTTGTCCAAATCCTTACTGTATATTTCCTTTATGAAACCGGTGTTGTATCTGCTTGTATGTGTCAAAGCTGGTTCATACATCTCCGCACACGTACTAGCAGACTAGCGCTTGACGTCATCGTGTGCCTCCGCAGACAAACACCTGCCGCACTCCAAGTTTGTATCTGCGCCGCACTGAAGGCACAGCTCTGGGCACACGGCGCAAAATCGATTTGCTAGCGTCCCCTTTAAATAACAACATGGATGCTTTTGATGAGCATTGGGGTAGTTTGCAAACCTTACAGACTATTTACAAGGGAATGAAACTGTTACATACATGTAATTGCGTATGTATGACAGTGCAGACTCGTCTCGAATTGAAAATCTCACGCCAGCCAGCTGACCAAAGTTGGCAGCCCTGTGAGCTGGCTCTCTGAATTTGTAAGACATAGAGAAACAGACACAAACCTCACTGTTGTGGTACATGTCCAGGGAATATCAGAATAATCATTTATATTATTATTATTATTATTATTATTATTATTATTTTATTAATAAAAATACAACAGCTCTTCGCCTACTGTTATTATAAAAACAGCACATTGTTTGAATGTACCAAATACGCGGCTTGATTGGAGAACTATGAACGTTTCTTTGTCCACATATTCAAAGTGGATATGCGAGTTTTACTCTTGTGCGGAGAAGTATGAACCAGCTTTCAGTCTCTGTGCTTGGACAGCAATTCAGTGCTAATTGTAGTCTGAAAGTAAGTAGCTGTGCTTTGAGTAATTCTCACTTTGGTTCCTTTTCCCAATGTTGTGAGTTTTTCTTGCCTTCACAAGTGTAACATCTATTTTAGATAAAATTTAAAAATAAAATCTCAAGTGATTCAGTGGGAACACCTTCAGCACTGGGGGTTGATCTGCCACCCCCATTCCATGTATGTAGAGTAAAGTCCTTTGAAATACCGGTATCCATATTGTACCATGATGCCTAATACAGTGGTACCTCAGTTCTCGAACTCACTAGAACTCAAATTTCTTGAAAGTCGAACAAACCAGTTTGACCTAGAACTCGAATATCAGAAGTCGAACCGTGAACGCTGACCTAATATAAATTGTATTTATATATGCGCCAGGAAATGAGTCACACGGCACGTCTCTGAGCGGAAACAAAAGGTAATGCTTCAGTGTCAGCCTCGCATTTGCTGTAGTAGCAGCGCTTGTTGGTGATAATGCTATTTTATTGAAAATACTGTATCAGGTAATACACTGTACTTTATTATTTTGTTAGCCATTGCTCACCAAAAAGTTACGTAATAGTTGTACAAATGTTACAACCTAAAAGTTTGCTATTCACAAACAAATTAATGAATACAGTTTAATAATAAAAATAAATAATGGACCGCATAGCATAGTCTAGTCTAGTGTTGGCGCAGTGCTGGGGCATGGTTTGGGGTAGTGTTGGGGCATGGTTTGGGGTAGTGTTGGGGTACATTCTTTAACGTTTTGGAAGCCATTAAGAAAAAAAATGTTACGCACGGCTATGGTTGCCAACCGTCCCAAATTGTCTGGGACATCCCGAAATATGGGTGATTTTGATTTGTCCCTTCAGGGGCAGCTCCAGTTCCGTATTCCAATCACAGCCTCGTCGGCCAATAATAGACCACAGTAAGCATGGCAAAACTCATGCAAACGTTGCTATGAGACACGGTTGTTGGTGTGCCTGTGTGCATCGACAGAGTGATTAATTTAGTGAATAACAATGCTATGGATCATTTTCAGAGAATTTTGACAAAAAGACAAAAACAATTGTCAATTGAACAATTTTTAATTAAAAAGGGTGAGAAAAGAAAGAGAGATAAGACCCCTGAAGGAGAATTGCCTTCAGTCATTATAGAGGAAGATTCTTCTTCCAAAAAATAACCCCCTCTCCTCCCCCCGAAAAAAAATCCTCTGTCTTTGAATATGCAATTTAACTGTCTTGGTTAAGGTTAGTATATTTTGTATAATGTTTTTTATTACTACTGTTACTAAGTGTTATTTGTGCATATGTTCATATTGCACATTCAAGTTTTTTTTTTCCTCATTTTTCAAATGTTTTGCTCTTGTTCCTACTTTAAATACAAACCCTTAGCATGACTCAAAGTAGTAGTGCTGTGTCTGAGTTCTACTCCTCGTAGTCTGCGAGATCTGACTGCAATGGCAGCACTGCCAGAAGGGTGTAGACATATCTATACAAATATCACCTGCATGCACATTACATCTTTTACAATAACCAACTCCTGATCCAAAAAAGCTATTGTATATAGTGGCCCTGTGTGAAAAGATTAAATGCATTTCATTCAAGGATTCAAAGTTTTTATTGTCATGTACAGACTACAATGCAATTCTTACTTGAATGCCTTCTTCACAGACTGGACGATTAACCAAATAAAGCAGCGCAACATTACAGTAACTAACAATAAATAAACCACTAACTTACGTGTACTATTAGAGCATTTATGTCATTTATTTAAACTTTATTTTACCAGGTAAATTAACTGAAAACCAGTTCTCACTGCTTTACGTGATATTCGGGAGAAATAGCAGATTACGCATCGGAACTGCCTGGGATACAAACGTCATGCGTGTAACTAAACTCTTCAGCCAATAAGGGCAAAGGTGTGTTGTCACGGAGGCGGTTCCAGTTTGTACAGCCTTGTGAGAGGCCGCAATGCATCTAACCGTAATGCATTGCATCAGGATCAGAATGCATTGCTTTAAGCCAGCGCTGTAAGCAAGTCGAACGCACCCAATGACCGGACTGGGGAAACAAACTGAAACGCGGACTTAGTACAGAGGACTAATGACAACAACCAGAAACAGCTGATCACATGGGGATCCCACACGAGGTTAACGAGGGGGCGTGGCACACGGAAGGAGCGGACGATCGGGGCAGGACAGGGGTAATGTTGGGATACGATCTTTGGAAGCCATTAAGAAAAAAAGCTCTTGTTTTATCCTGTTCATTTTGTGTTTAAATGCTACATATTTAGGTGTAATTTTGGGGGGGCCGAGAACCAATTAATTGGTTTTCCATTATTTCTTATGGGAAAAATTTGATCAGAACTCGAACTTTTTAGGATTCGATCCGGAGTCCGGAACGGATTAAGTTCGAGAACCGAGGTACCACTGTATTTAAAACCAATACAGTTGTATCCTTTTGCTATTTTTGGTATTTCATGAAAATGTGGAGCACATCTCTACTGCAAACATCATAAACATTTTATGTAGTAACAACATGTAGTAGACTGTTTAAAGTCATGTTTAGCCTACATGCGAGTTCATTCATATCCCTTTCCCTAGTTATGAAAATTAGACAAGGCTAAATGATGAATAGACTACACTAGCTAAATATATGTATTCAGCTAGTGTAAACATGCACTATGCTATCACAGTGAAATGAGTGAATGCGAGGCTGGGACTGAAGCTTTACCCTTCGTTTCCGCTGAGAGATGTGCAGCGTGATTCATTTCACCACGCGTACAGGTTATCTTAGGTCGGCGTTCACGGTTTGACTTCTGAGATTCAGATCGAGCTCTAGGTAATTTTTTTTCGAACTGGTTGGTTCGACTTTTAAGAAATTCGAGTTCTGATGAGTTTGAGAACTGAGGTACCACTGTATCTTTATTGTCATTGTAATGGGTACAACGAAATTAGGTGCAGTCCTTGCGGCGTCGAAGAATAATAAGAGCAGGGGGCTCAACACATAGCCCTGAGGAGAGCCGGTACTGATACTGATGGCCGAGGAGATGTGGGAGCCCACCCTAACCCTCTGTGCGTTCTGTCAGGAAGTCTTTTAGCAATGTTTTTGCAATGAAGTCTACTTGCAATGTTTGCAATGCCATCCTTTCAAGGAAATTTTGAAAAGTTTGGTCAATAAAATTAAACTAATTAGGCAGTTGCAGACATCATAAGGAAGAATACTGTGAAATCACGAGGCTTACTCTCATGAAGAATGCACTGATGCAGCTTGACTCAGTGGAACAATGATTTTATTGTATTTGAAATGTTTTTATTTACATATGTTATGTAACTTGTTCATACAAAAGAGAAACTGAAAAGCACAAATAGCTATTTTTAGCCCTTTTTTTGTAAAATGGAACAATCTGGTAAGAAAGTTGATCTCGGTACATTACAAAACAATGAAATGGGACATAGATATATTAGTATAGTGTAGGGCAACTTGTATGTGTATGTATATTTAAATATTTATTAAAAGATTGGATCGGGTACTGGGAATCGGCAGCTGTAAACATTGAATGGATCAGGTCGGATTGAGGTACCAAAAAGTGGATCATGACATCCCTAAATCTACCTATGAAATGACATTTAATTATGAATATTTCGCTTATAATGTTAAAATATATATATAGGTCTTGATTCAGCTCTAGTCTGCGGTTTGCATGTCTTTCCCATGTTGGTGTGGTGCTCCAGTTGTTTTCAACAGTTCAGAAACATGTGTCTCTCACTTGCCCCCAGTGTGTCACCATGTATATGTGCTTTGACATGGACTGGAGCACAATATGAGGAAAATCTGCGATGTGCTGTAACCATGTAATATTGCAATGTCGTTATGGCTTGTATAGCTATTGAGCTAAATGTATGGTTATGATTGATAAAAACATGTTGCTAACAAGCTAAATATACATTGATACTCTAACACAGCATGTCAGTTATTCCGTCAAACTAAATGTAAAAGATTTTTCATGATTAATTAAAAAAACACACCTTTTTAAAAAACATTGAGAAACATTAAGTGTTTTATTGGCGTGAATGGCTGCTGCCGCAGTAGGGGTGAACTCGAAGCTTTCACCTGACCCCTCCATCATCCTCATTCATCGTGTTTCTGGCAGTCTTTTTCAATCTATTTATTGCGCATTTTCATATCACAATGACAATGAAAATATGGGACACCCCTGCCTTCTGCCATGAGCTTGCTGGGATTGACTGTAGGCTAGCAGTGATGGATGGATGGGATAATGGATGGATGGATTAAAATGTGGTGGACGTGGCCCTCATGCAGGCATGCCAGATGAGCAGCGCGAGGGCCTGCAGGAGGAGCTCATCGACATCATCCTCCTGGTGCTCCAGCGTAACCCTCAGCTGCACTACTACCAGGGTTACCATGACATCGTGGTCACCTTCCTGCTGGTCCTGGGGGAGCCTCTGGCCACCGTGCTGGTGGAAAAGCTCTCTACCCACCATCTCCGGTAACCGCTCTGCCCAAAACCCGAATGAGTGCTCATAACTTCATAGTTATATTGGGGGATCTTATTTGACTCCCAACTACAGGAGTCCTGCTCTTATTGCATCGGATGTTCCAGTGATTGATGTTGTTGTTTAGATATAAAGGAATTTTTCTTATCATCCTTGAAGTGGGCTTCAGATGGTAGTGGGCCCGTTGTCTAACTTTGTTCTGTTTCTTACAGGGATTTCATGGACCCCACAATGGACAACACTAAACACATTTTAAACTATCTCATGCCAATCATCGAGCGGGTCAACCCAGAGGTGCACGATTTCATGCAGCAGTAAGTGGTAAACCTGCAGTTACAAAATCCTGGTGTTTTCCTAGCTAATTAAAGTATCCAGTAATGATATGGCTCAATCTCTGGAATGCTGAATGTGTTTTGAGAGGTGGCATCTGGAGGGCTTTATCATTTTTTATTGCATTTGTGCTGTTGATATTTTTATTTTGTGCTGCTTTAGTTTCTGAGATATAAATATCTGTTTACATGGTGACATCATCATTGTGCTTCCCCGGTCCAAATTCCATCCTCCGTAATGTCGCCCAGCTGTAGCGTTTACATCAATAAAATACGGCACACTCCACCACAAGTACGGCACAAATGACTGAGACTGTTTTGGTCGAAACCGGATGCAAATACAGGGCCAACTTCATGGCGGTGACATCACCATGTAAACAAAGATTTATATGTCAGAAATAGTGCTGTGAAACGATTAAAATTTTCAATCAGATTAATCACAGGGTTGCTGTGGATTAATTTAGATTCATCACGATTAAATATAATTAATATACATATTAATTAATATTTTAATATATAGATTAAAATAATTTTTAATCTATATTAATTGCATTTCATTTTGCATGAGCAAACAGACTCAAGAAAAAAAGGAATATATATGCACTTAACATGTTAATTGAACATCTTGAACACGAGTCGGATGCATTCCATCTGCCACAGAAGTGCAATACCATGGATCCATATCAAAAAGCAAGATTTTTTGCTTAGCCGGACAACTTGTCAGATTTAAGGTACCTCAGTATAAATGGTCTTATCTTCTTTAATTTACAATTAGCCCGATCTACTGTAAATCCGACAAATAATCAGACTAATCTTGAAATCCAACTCTAGCCCGGTTAATTGCCATTGTTAGCAATATCAGTTGATAACACATTACGCGCGGTGCTTTACGTATAAAACTCCGTAGCAACAAGTCCACAGATAAGTTGGACAGTATAGTGTGTGCGACCGATTTAGTGAGCCACAAATGAGAAGTAGTGCTTAAACAGTATAAAACTACAACTTTCCCTTCTGTTGATAAAGGGCGCAGCCATCTTGGATTCTGAACTCAGGATCCTCTGTGCTGCTCTGAGATATTTCTCAGATCTCCGAGAAACAGGATCGGGCATGTCGTCACTTCTGGCTTCAAAACTCGGAATCCGACTCAGAATACGAGTTCCGAGGGCAAATGGAACGCACCAAAACTGCCTGAAATGGGTGACAGAGGCATTTTTGGGATTTTCAGTTATTCTGCACTGCAGATGGGTTAATTGCGTAAAAAATTTTAGTCAGTTTAATCATGATGATGGATTAATCCGCGTTAACCCGTTAATTTTGACAGCCCTAGTCAGAAACTAAAACAGCAAAAATGAGAATTTCAGTGGCACAAACCGGCACAAACGTAGCACAAACGATTGAGACCAGTTTGGTTAAAATCTGAAACATATGGGGGACCAGCTTCATGCAGATGCCTTTAGCTTGAGGGAAGAGAACTTGTGTTAAAGGGTTTATTTTGTATGACTGTGTTGTGTAACGAATACAATACAACGAATACACTCACTGACATCTGCCCTGTATAATGTGTCTATAAGGTTTGTTTAATTAGTTCAGGTAGATTAGATAGATGGATGCATGCATGCATACTTTATTAATCCTGAAGGAAATTTAGCTTTCAGCATTTAGTTTTTATTATTGCCTTTTGATAACCTTTAGAGTCTATTATTGTCATTTGTTAACATGCATGGCACAGTTGTGCCAGTTGTAGTCAAGGAAGCAGTTTTGAGGAATAAAACAGTAAGAGACATCAGACAAACTTTAGGCCTACTAAAATTAATTGACTGGAACATTATTAAAAAGAAAGGGAACCCTGGTCAGTGTTATAATCACAAAAGTTAGGCCAAGGAAAACCTCTATAGCTGATGACCACAATTCTCAGCATAATGAAAACATTCTNGATCTCCGAGAAACAGGATCGGGCATGTCGTCACTTCTGGCTTCAAAACTCGGAATCCGACTCAGAATACGAGTTCCGAGGGCAAATGGAACGCACCAAAACTGCCTGAAATGGGTGACAGAGGCATTTTTGGGATTTTCAGTTATTCTGCACTGCAGATGGGTTAATTGCGTTAAAAATTTTAGTCAGATTAATCATGATGATGGATTAATCCGCGTTAACCCGTTAATTTTGACAGCCCTAGTCAGAAACTAAAACAGCAAAAATGAGAATTTCAGTGGCACAAACCGGCACAAACGTAGCATAAACGATTGAGACCAGTTTGGTTAAAATCTGAAACATATGGGGGACCAGCTTCATGCAGATGCCTTTAGCTTGAGGGAAGAGAACTTGTGTTAAAGGGTTTATTTTGTATGACTGTGTTGTGTAACGAATACAATACAACGAATACACTCACTGACATCTGCCCTGTATAATGTGTCTATAAGGTTTGTTTAATTAGTTCAGGTAGATTAGATAGATGGATGCATGCATGCATACTTTATTAATCCTGAAGGAAATTTAGCTTTCAGCATTTAGTTTTTATTATTGCCTTTTGATAACCTTTAGAGTCTATTATTGTCATTTGTTAACATGCATGGCACAGTTGTGCCAGTTGTAGTCAAGGAAGCAGTTTTGAGGAATAAAACAGTAAGAGACATCAGACAAACTTTAGGCCTACTAAAATTAATTGACTGGAACATTATTAAAAAGAAAGGGAACCCTGGTCAGTGTTATAATCACAAAAGTTAGGCCAAGGAAAACCTCTATAGCTGATGACCACAATTCTCAGCATAATGAAAACATTCTTCAGGAAACAGAAGTGGATTTGATAGTGACTGCTGTCTGCAGAGGAACAGAAATACAGAAGCTGCGCTGATGATGCAAACCACTGGTTAGCCACAAAAACAGGACGGTCAGATTTTAGTTTGGAGGTGCTTGTCAGCAGAGATTAGGAAAAAGGTCTTGTGCAGCGATAAGACCAATATTAACTTATATCAGAGTGATGGCAAGAGCACAGTGTGGAGGCGAGAAAGCCAAGATACAAAGTATACCAACTCACCTGTGAAACATGAGGGTGCTGGGGGTGTTGAGGCCTGCTATGTATGTCTGCCACAGGTACTGGCTCACTTGTCTTCATTGATGATGTAACCGCTGATGGCAGAAGCTACATGAATTATAACGTCAAGTTCAAGCAAATGCCTCCAGTCTCATTGGCCAGCTTCAAACCAACAGCAAGACAATGATCCTAAATGTACTGCTAAAGCAATATGGGAGTTTTTCAGAGTTGAAAACTGGAAAATACTTCCCTGGCTCTGTCAGTCACCAAGACTAAATACTATGCCTCCCATATGCCAAAGAGTGAACTTAGGCCCTCAACAAGTAGGAGCTGAAGGTGGCTGTGTTAGAGGCTTGGCAAAGCATTACCTGAGAAGATACTCGGCACCTGCTGATGTCTATGAATCACAGACTTCAAGCAGTCATCATATGAAAGGGACAAGTGACAATGTATTAAACAGGACTGCTTTAATATATGTACCATTGCCATTCATCCATTCATCTGTCCATCCATCCATCTATCTATACATACATTTTCTGCCGCTTATCTGGGGTCGGGTTGCAGGGGCAGCAGTCTAAGCAGGGATGCCACCTCATCCAGCTCCACTGGGGGAATACCAAGGCATAGACTTCTCCAGAGTTTCCTAGATCTGCCCCAGGGCCTCCTCCCCGATTGGACATGCCTGAAACACTTCCTCAGGGAACCGTACAGGAGCCATCCTTGATAGATGCTTGAACCACCTCAACTAGCTCCTTTCAATGCTGAGGAGCAGTGGCTATACCTTGAGCCCCTCCCAAATGTCCAACCTCCTCACCCTATCTCTTTCTCTTTTGCTGAGCTCAGCAACCCTACGGAGGAAACTCATTTCGGCTGCTTGTATCCGTGATCTCGTTTTTTGGTCACTACCCAGAGCTCATGACCATAGGTGAGGTTTGGACCATAGTTCGACTGGTAATTTGAGAGCTTTGCCTTCTGGCTCAGCTCCCTCTTTATCACAACAGAACAGTACAGCTTCCACTTTACTGCCTACACTGCAGCATTCCATCTGTCAATCTCCTGCTCCCTTCTTCCCCTGTTGTGAACAAGACCCCGAGATACTTAAACTCCTTCCCCTGAGGCAGCAACTCATCCCCCACCAGGAGTGAGAAATCCACCTTTTTCCCCACCAAGAACCATAGCCTCAGAATTGGAGGTGCTCATCCCCTTGGCTGCTCCACACTCAACTGCAAAACGCCCCAGTGCATGCTGCAAGTCTCAGCCCAATGACGCCAGCAGGACCACATCATCTACAAAAAACTAAGATGTGATACTGAGGCCCCAAAACTGGACCCCTTCCACCCCTTGGCTATGCCTAGAAATTCTGTCCATAAATGTTATGAACAGAATTTGTGACAAAGGGCAGCCTTGGCAGAGTTCAACACCCACTGGGAGTGAGTCTGACTTACTGCTGGCAATGCGAACCAAACTCTCGCTCTGTTTGCACAAGGACCTGATGGACCCTGTACCCCAAAGTCCTGGAGCACCCCCCACAGGATGCCCCATGGGACATGGTCGTATGCCTTATTCAAGTCCACAAAACACAAGTAGACTGGTTGGGCAAACTCCCCTGAACCCTCCAGTATCCTTGTGAGGATGAAGAATCCTCCTGGATCCGGGTTTCAACCAATGGGGGCACGCTCATCTCCAGTATCTCGGCATAGACCTTCCCAGGGAGACTGAGGATTGTGAACACATCCTCCGGTCCATTTTCTTAATGATTGGGACCACCGCCCCAGTCTGCCAGTCCAAACACACTGTCCCCGACATCCATGCAATGTTGAAGAGGCATGTCAGCCAAGACAGCCCCACAACATCAAGAGCTTTCAAGAAGTTAGGGGGAATTTCATCCACCCCTGGAGCCTTTCCACCCAAGTTATTTGTCCACTTCAGTGACCTCAGCCCTAGAGATGGGCAAGTCCTCCTCTGAGTCTTCCAACTGTACTTCCTCCGAGGAAGGCGTATCAGAGGGATTTAGGAGATCCTCGAAATATTCTTTCCACCACCTGACTGTATCCCCAGTTGAGGTCAACAGTTCTCCATCCCTACTGTAAATAGCATTGGTGAAGCCCTGCTTCCCCCTCCTGAGTCGTCTGACAGATTAGCTGAATCTTTTTGAGGCTGACTGAAAGTCCTTCTTGATAGGTGTGGGAGGACTCCCTCAGGGTGTAAGAGAAGTTCTGCCGAAGGTGTGAGTTGAGGGTCTCCTGGGCAGGGGCCTCCGCCAGACGCTCCCAGTACACCCTCACTATGCTTTTGGGACTACCAGGTCTATCTGGCATCTTCCCCAGCCATCGTATCCTACTTACCACCAGGTGGTGATCAGTTGAGAGCTCAGCTCAATACCATTACAAAATCGATCATCATAGTGCATCCTAGGGTACTCTGGTGCCAGGTACACTTTGGATTACGATCAGGCAGGTCATTGCTCCCAATCACACCCTTCCATGTTTCACTGTCATTACCCACGTGAGTATTAAAGTTCCCCAGCAGAATAATGGGCTCCTTCCAGCATCCCCTCCAAGAAGGCCGAATTCTGCAAACTGGTGTTTGGTATATACACACAGACAACAGTCTGAGCCCATCCCCAATTCAAAGTTGAAGGGATGTGACCCTGTTGTCCACTGGTGAGCCATGTTATTTCTTCATGCTATCCCTAGTCGGGTGAAAGCCCAGCCGCCAGGTGCTTGTCCTCGAGCTCACACCACAATTTGCCTTGGGAGACCCTTCCATTATGGAGGGATTGTGTATGGTCATTCCTACATCGTGAAACCAAGATGTGGAGTACAGAGGCAAACATTCCAAATTATGGAGGACATTTACTGTATGTAAGGTGCTATACTGTACAAAAGTCTTAGGCAAACCAGAAATTCTGTGTTTAAAAGTGAAATTCAAATGGTGTAAAACTATGACGTCTGTTAAATTATGTTAGCTTAGCCATTTCAAAATCTCTCCTGAAGTCCCCAGTGTTCGCAGTAACCATCCAATACACACATTTGTTGACTCCACCACTGGAAAATATACATTTATTACGCAGAAAAATCATTTTCATAGTAATTTTTATGATCTCAATGCTTTTATATGGTACACTCATTATAGATCAGTTACACAATGCAGTGCACATCTACTAAGCATTTTAATAATTACTACTAATGGATCTTTATCTTTTTCCTGGGAGTGTGATTGTGTTCTCAGCCTGGTGCAGTGACTGGCACTCTGAGGCATGTCCATGTCCTCCTTTCCCGTCCCCAGGGCAGAAGTTGGCACCATCTTCGCCCTCAGCTGGCTCATCACATGGTTCGGCCATGTGCTGGCAGACTTCCGTCACGTGGTGCGGTTGTATGACTTCTTTCTGGCGTGCCACCCTCTGATGCCCATCTATTTCGCAGCCGTGGTGAGGGAGTGCTATTGTGGCTTGTGGTTAACTTTTGTCTTAATGAAAAATTCCTAATTCAGTCATAAAATCTATGGAGATGCAAGCATCAACCACAACTACAGCTCATCACACATATGGAGCTACAGGAGTGGTCTTTATCTACATTTTTACCTATAGTAGAAGATTTCAGATTTTTAGTGTTTTTAGAATATTGTAGCCTAAACCTTTCTTTGATTGAGGACAATTTGAGCCCCTACTACCCAATATTGCTGTTTTTGCAGCAGTTTTTAATTTGGCTAACTTATTTAACAAATTGGATGTTACATTTTTTCTCAAGATGCTGTTCTGTAGCATTTTAAGTAACTTGAGCCTTTTTATCCTACTGTACTGAACCTTTCAATTTCAGTCACAGCATCCTAACGTGCTGAGCCACACACTGCCCCCAAACCCACTATTAACTTACCTTAACAGTTCTCAGAGAATGAAATGTGGAAATGATTAGCAAGGTAAATACAATGAAACACTCATTTATATAACAAAGTGTTTAAGCATCAGGGGTGTTATGCAGCTTGCATATTAAACTGCCAATTCAATTAGCTTTGTGTAAAAATTGTTAACCAGTAAATTAATAAATGAAAGAGGTGCTGTAGCCAGCACAGGTGCTAAGGACCTGGACCTATGACAAATAGGTTTCAACTACTGGGCAGTCCTTTCTGTTGTACTCTTGGGAAAAGTACTTATTGTTTATGTGGCTAACATATCCTACTGTGTTTGTAAGATGTCATTAATTAGAGTGACATTCTAAGGCTTACAGGCAGGATGCTTTAGTCCCCTAAATGCATGCTAATCAGTCAAAATAGTGTGTTCTCATTTATTTCCATTTAAATCCATAAAAATATGACATTGCACCTTCTAGTCTAGGACACTAGGACCCAGGGGAATTGTGGCAGCGATTGATCAGTATGCTTTTGAACATGTGGCTGGGCATAAGCCCTGCTCACGGGGGAGTGCCTGTGCTTTATGCTGCAGATCGTGCTGCACCGGGCGGAGGAGGTGCTGGAGTGCGAGTGCGACATGGCCTCTGTGCACCACCTGCTCTCCCAGATCCCACAGGACCTCCCCTACGAGCCACTCATCAGCCGTGCCGGGGATCTCTTCGTGCAGTTCCCTCCGTCCGAGCTTGCCAGGGAGGCAGCGCAGCAGCACAGCCAGCAGTGAGTTAGGGGACTGGGCTCTCGTGGGGCACCAATGAACAGTCGCTGTTTTACTGGGTAAAACACCTAACCTCAATCATTATATGCATAAGCTGCTTCAGGTGAGAATGTCTGCTGACTAGTTAAAATAAATGTATAGGAATTGATGAGCATTCAGGAGTATTAGTCTCATTTATCACAGCCCAGAGGCTTTTGTTGAGCTCTTTGCATCAGTTTTTTCAGTATCCCAAAGCTTAAGCCTTAGGAGTTAAATACTCTAGTCTAGTGGAACGACTGTTTAGATAAACAATCCCCACATATATATTAGAAAGTCATGCACAGCCAAAACTGACGCACAACACAATTAACACATTATATTATAGATTATATCTACATAATTGTGTATAATATGTGGAGGCATGCTGGCACAGCTGCCTCACATCTCTGGGACCAGTTTTCAAGTCTCAAGTCAGTCAACAGCAGAAACATGTTAAGGTGAATCAGATACGAAATGGTCTGTGAATAGTGTCTGCACCTTGCGGTGGGGTGGTGGCCCATCCTGGGTTATTCCTTGCTTTGTGCCCATAGCCTCAGAGTCCTATGACCCAGAATAGGACAAGCAGGTGTAGAGGATTGATGGGTCATTCCATGTCAAATCATCACGCTTTCAGACCTCATCGTCACGGATTTTAACGAAACTTGGCATGCACGAGTAACTCATGAAACTGAAATTGGGCGAGTCTTGGATCAATATTGAGGGAGATTTAAACAGTTTTAACTTTTTTTTTGGGGGGGGGGGCTATGACTTTGGCTGGCTAGATTTACCTTAATGTAAGCTGCACAGAAGTGGTCCTTATACTGCTTTAAAGCTATTGTTCAGCTCTATAGATTGAACAAATAATATGCCATCCCCATTAGAATAATTCAAATATAAAAAATTAAATAACAAAAACCTATATTTCAAAATTGATCGATTTTTTTTTAATTTTTTTTTCCTTTTCTCTTCTCCCCCCCTTTTACTAAAGCTATATCATAATGTCATGAACATCTCCAGAAAATTTGGTCTTTGGTTTTTAAGTTGTTGCTGAGATATCGTGATGTAAAGGTAGCGTCACATGGTTTCATATCACTAATGGGCCTTTTTAATGGCAGCCAAACTGACTTGAAGTATGACAAGCACAGGTGTAAGTAATTACATTAATTAAGGTTACAAATATGCTACAATGAAATTTAATGGAAGCCTCATTAATGTCATTGCAGACACCTATAGATGGACAGGTGGGTGGGTGGATGGTTGGATGTATGGATGGACGGACTGATGGAGCATTATTACATTATTAGATATACTATAATACTATAGCATTAGTTTGGCTGCATACATTATTGGTATAGCTTCATTATTTTGTATTATAGCTACATTATTAGACTTAATAGCTACATTGACGTAATACTTTGACAGGCTAATAAATCACAGATGACTATCCTGATGATGTGTGTGTGTCAAACACCCTGAACGGTAGCTGATGAAGGGTCTCTCCCTCTCTCTCTATCCATCTGTCTGTCCCCCCCCAGGACGGCGGCCTCCACATTCAAGGACTTTGAGTTGGCGTCGGCGCAGCAGCGGCCCGACACGGTGCTGCGGCGGCGGCGGAGGGAGCAGGCCGTGCTGGCAGGGCCTCCCGGCGCGGCGGCGGTGGCGGTCGCGCGCCCCCGGGCCAAACGCTTTGTCCGGCTGGCCGTCATGGGCCTGACAGTAGCCCTGGGGGCGGCGGCCCTGGCTGTGGTCAACACAGCACTGGAGTGGGCCCCCCGACTGGACCTGCAGCTCTTCCCCTGATCAGACTGCCGCAGAACACCTGGGACTTTCTCCAATGCTTCAGAAGGCAGGGGAGAGGAATACTTCTGTGGACCTTCATTAATACATGTGTATATATAAATAAGTGTATTGCCCACAGAGATTAAACTATGCAGAAGGACAGGAGGCATGCTTACTGCCCCCATTACAGAGCGCTTTGTAAAAACCGGTTGCATGCTTCAGGGATCATTCCCCGTCTTGTTGGTGACAGATTAGCCTCCAGTTAGGCTTTCGACTGGGCAGTCAGCACCATTATCTAATCATCAATCCTGCTGTCTAACCCTCAGCCTGAAGTGCAGTTCAGCAGCAGCTCGTCAGAAAACTAAAATGGGCTTTTTCAGGAACCGTTTAGACCGGAAGTACCATACTAAGCTCTGTCATTGTAGCACTAGTCAAAATGTTTTTATTTTTGTAAGCATTGTGTTCTGTAAGTTTGGAGTTTTTTTTCACCTGTTTGCTTTTTAGGTAACATGGTTTATTTTTTAGGATGCTACCAAATGTGATTAGGTTGGTATTTGCCTGAAGGGAAGGGTTGTGCCTTTGGTTCATCCAAAAGGAGTGACCTGGTTTGAAGAATACTCACATCTTCACTCTTAAGTCTGTCTACATTCATCACAGGACCTAAAGCTAACAGGACTGTAAAACAGGGTTCCCACCTTCTGTTGCACATAAAGGAAGCTTGTTTCAGCTTTATTTCTGTGTTATGTACAGAGTTATTTCCAAATAATCACAGATACGCTGGGGGAAGGGGGGGACCACTAGATTTTGGTGTTGTAGCGAACACAACTGCTGTTGAAAGTACAAGTCAAGCTAAATAATGGTGAAATGTGTTGTCAGTCTTTAGTCTGTCGTTAATTGCAGGAATAAAAATATTACTTGTATATTAAGAGTATTACGGTATATTATATGGAATTAAACTTCTAATAGTTTGAAAACTAGATGAGAAATTTGATCATATGGACCACATTCATTCATTCAACGTGGCTCTTGGAGAATAATTTTCTCAGAACTCAGGTAATCTAATTCCATCACCTCGTTACCTGTTGCTCTTCAGGTTGGTTGAATTTGGCTGCATGAAGCCAACCAGGGTGTGATGGAGTTTATACACTGGGATATGTGGCTTCTGGTAGGATGCATTTCCCTGGCTGTGCTGATATCTGCCCTAAACGTTGTCATGGAAACTCCTACTGGCCGATGATGCCATCTTGAATAAACGATACAGGAAAGTGGCTTTTCGGGTATTTTTTAACTTAATGGCTTCTATTTGGCTACCTGCTGCTTCTCCAATCTTTTGGATCAAAGGTCAGCCTCAAAGACATGAGTCATATCGCAGATCTTTGTAATGTAAACTCTATTTCTTGTACACCTTATGACAACGCTCTTCCTTACGGCTCAGATTTACCTCACATATTCACGATTTAAAAATATTTTTTAATAATATTTTATATACAACAAAATCCAGTTAAGAGATTGTCATATCCATACCTGTACCACTATAAAACTTCATTTTAATCCTTTATATTTGATCAAAAGGATCAAAAAACAACAATCAGTAGTCACTTTGAATCAGATCTGTAATGAAAACCAATATACTAACTTTATAGGAACCTATAACTGCAAAGCTGTTTTGTATGATTTGGGTTTAGGTTATAGCAGAATGGGATTATGATGTCATAATGATGACATGATTGAGACAAACCTATTAGACTGTAATCTAGACATGAGCTAATGATCATGATCAGGCACACCGTACCCCTGAACTAGATAAGTGGTTATGGATGTATAATGTTGACAAAACAAAAAAATGTCCTTTATTTTTAACTTCGTAAACCTCAGAATTACAATTTCAACAAAATGAAAACAAACTCAAAGTAAGAGATGCACTCAAGTAAAATGTATGCCCCTTATAAAAGGTATACAGTACTGCTTAGTGTCCGTACTTCCGAAGGAAAGAATCACAGAGACAGCCAGAGATGATTCTCAGCCTCACGCAGGGGACCTTCATGCAAACTGCCTTGTGCCTCAGTCCTACTGAAAAAATATTTCTCTAAATCAGGGGTCTCCAACTCCGGTCCTGAAGAGCTACCGTCCAGTAGGTTTTCTATCCTACCCGGCTACTGATGAGCCACACCTGTTCTCAGGTAAATACCAGGAGCAGGTGTGGCTCATCAGAAGCCAAGTAGCATAGAAAACCTACTGGTTAGTAGCTCTCCAGGACCGGAGTTGGAGACCCCTGCTTTAAATCCATTTAGCAATTTGTCACATGTTCTTGTACACATATTGTACAACTTCAGCTTGGCAAATGTTAGCACTGGGAACCCCCCCCCATGATCTGCCACCCCAACCACCCCAAGCGTCAAATCTTAGAATTGCCCCTGGAAAAAGGCCATTTTGGAAAGTAAGTTGCAATCATTTTTAAAATGTAGCTACTTAATTTGAAGAATATATATATAATTTAATTAACCAGGTAAGATAACTAGCCTTGAGCCAGGAGTAAAGAACAGAGGTGGACCTGGGGAGACCTGCAAGTCCATTAGGTACAGAGGGCTCCTCAGCTCAGTGGCAGTTTTGGCACTGAGGGTGACAGAGTACTCCATTCACTCTGCATCTGCATCCACCAGAAGCATCCCCATGACCCTGTCGAGAAGGGAGAAGGTGTCACATGCAATGACTCCATTCTTTTAGCATGGCTAAAGACGTGCTATCTGTGTGCCTGCACTGTGTCACGTGACAGCGGTGGTAAGCAGCCCGTCGTACATTGGGTCCCCAGCGCGCCTGTCGGGTCACCCAACAGATCTCCGTCTTGCACATGACACAGCACATCCAGTCACATCCATCCTTCTTCTGCACGATGATCTTGCACTTGGGGCAATTCATGGCCTCCCCAGTTTGCAGCATGGTCTGTCAGGGTTAGTAGCACATTTCTGGTCTCAGATTTAATGTTGGGCAGCTCTGTATTGCATTTCAAGCCTTGTGTGACATTTTATTTTAATGACATTTCATTTAACTTTATCTACATTTCTGATTGACCACATTCCTCAAAAAACCAAACATTAACAGTCTTCACTTTGCCCTGTAATGACAATCAGAATATTAACTTCTATTGGGAATTGCGATTATGACATGGGTTTAGGGTTCACATGTCATGTGTCGGATCTGATTGGTCAAAGGCTGTGTGTCTTTTCAAGGCGCTCTTACGTTGAGCATCTCAGTGGTTTGCCTGGCAGCAACGTCGTTTTCAGCCCTGATGCGCAGGTCGTCTTGGTATTGCTGGCAGTTCATGTCTTTGTGAATGGCCTAAAGAGAAGAACCAGCAGGCTTAAAACTTCCTGGAGGCAGCAGACATACTGTAGGTTAGTATACTGGACATCCAACTACAGGTGGTGCAGACATTTCCTGTGTTTGAAGACTAAGGGTGATTTTAGTGGTACTAGTTTGGCAGTCAGTGCTGAAATGATTATTTTGACAATAAGTCGCCTCACCTGGTGTTTTAAGTATAGTAAAGTAATCTAAGGTAATGTTGAAGATTTCAGAAATTCCGGACTTACCACAGGCTCAATATTTAGGTTTCAAATCATTCTTACAGCAGAAATCACTGTTTAATGGAACCATCAACAGGACTATTTGCAAGGGCTTTACAAGCGACTGTCTTAAATAAAAGCATCTGCTTAAAAACCAAATGGTGTGATATCAGTAGCAGAGCTGCAGATAACGGAAATGACACAGGGGCAGAAGGTCACTTGGGAGGTGCTCACTTTGCAGAGCAGGCAGTTGGTCTCATGACAAAGCTGACACTCGAACTCGTTGACCTCGTCTTCGAAGATGCACCAGCCTGCGCAGTCCGGGGTCTTGCAGTGGTAGCTGTTCTCGCTGCGAGTCTCGGCAATGCTAAGCCTTAGCTCCAGAAACTTAGCATACTCTTCTGGAGAAAGAAGCTAGCAGAACACAGGAGAAACACATCAAGTCTCGCTGACTGTTCTCGATTCATATTCAGTCATCCACCCATTATCAGTCGCTATTAGTCAGGTAATGTTATTCGCAGGTCAGTTATGTGATGTCATGAGCAAGATTCTGGTCTTGAAAGGGGACACTCGAAGGTGAACAGCAATTTAAAGCACGAGCGTAGCTTTGGATTGTGTGAGGAAATGACAGCCTTTATAGGAAACCCACGCAGGCACGTAAGGACATGCAAACTCTACACACAGAATTTTTACATATTGCAAAAATATGTTTTCATTCATTTTGCAGTCAAGTGCCCCAGAGAGAGCGAGTGAGCGGCAGGCCTTACGGCTTGAATTTCTCTGTCCTGCAGCTTGCTTTCACATGCATAGACATCATTACTGTATGGACAGGACACTTCAGCATCCATGCGGTTTGTAATTGTTCCTTTCAAACAATCCCTTTAAAAACAAAACAAAAAAAACACAATGTCTGCATATTTGCATATAATGTTTTGCATATATATCTGCATATAATGTACATTCTCTGCGGGCCTGAAGTGCTAAATACAATGCAAAAAAGTAGCAAAATGCAAAACTATTAAGAAATAACATACAAAAAAACACTCTTTTCTCAAAGCTTTGTGTGTTTTATATTATCTATCTATCTATCTATCTATCTATCTATCTATCTTTATGTATTTATCTATCTATTTTGCATTTTGAGGCCACTGTAAAATATCCCTGTCAATTTCACAAGAATACTTGTAAACAGGCCACACTGCTGTCACGGGCACATTAATTACAGACTAAGGGAGGTCAGCCAGTGGCGGATAATCAGAGTCATACTTGCAGAAGTTGTGAAGGCACTCGCGAAGTGTGGCCCCATCTCCTGGAGCTACCACTGTAAAGCATATGGGGCACTCCACCTCTTCTTGGTTAGGAATCAGGTTGTGCTCCTCTGTTTCTATTAGAATATGGAAATTTCTCAACCTTTCATCTTCCAGTGCCTGCAAAGTTAAAACTATATTCAACGTTGCGTTGCAAGACCAGTCAAATAATACTGAATAACGCTGAAATAACGGTGCATAATGTTGCCTTCTAGTAACAAATATCACCAGAACCAATATCCAATATCTTCTAAAAGGACCTTGATTATTTCTGGATCATGTGAGGTAGTATATGGGCTATAAGACATGGACTAGGAAATGGTTATACAGTATGCTCACATCCCCTGCTGTTGTACCCTTAATTACCACAATCTATTCATAGAAATATACAGCAATATAAGCTGGCAAGTAAACAAGCAAGCAAATAAATAAATAAATGATGAGTAAATGAGTAACAAAAATATTTTTTCAAAGAAGGCGCCACCTGTTCGTATTGCAGACAGGAAATCTCCTCTTGTTTCAGCCTGTTCTCCTCCTCCACATCTGCCTGGTAGTCATGGGGGATTTTATAATCTGCAGGCGTTGGTTCCCCGCACATCTCACAGCCAGGACGTGTCGGTTTGTTCAGAAACGTGCATGTGGGACATGACCACCCCACCTACACACACACACACACACACGATTGCCGATTGACTCAGCCCTGATAAATACTTTATGTGATGTAATGTCATGGCAGTCTTAACATAAAATGCTACTTATAAACTGGGACATTATCAGAAAGTGGCACAAATCAACTGTTACATAATCTGAGGTTTAACCAGGAGGATACACAAAACAAAAATCATGAAAGCCATTAATCATGAAAGCCTCAAGACTGATGAAGGGGAAGACGGCAAATAAACTAATTACCATTAACAGTTTGCATACTCCACACAATCAAAATGCGACAGTCTAATTGTCGTTTGTCTGCTGCATTGCTCAATAAACAATAAATAAATAAAATTTTCTGTTTTTGCTTGTGTAAATTAATCTATGTTTTGGCAAAAAAAAATCCAGTACTGGCATATGCGAAACAAAGAATGTGCCCAAACCGCATCAGATGCAAGCTACCTGTCCCCTTAGCACAATTTACTGCTAACTTGAACTACCAGATGTAACAGACAGAGAAATTATATTAATAGCAAAACAGGAATATGTACAAAAACAGACCAAGGCCATACAGTGTACTTGTGAGAGTTAGGAACAATACACAATGTATCAAACATACGATTTACTCATGTCAGAACTGAATAGTTAAATATCTACAATTAATCAGGAATGCTCTCCTCTATCACAAAGTCTTTGTTTTGAGTTTTGTTTTCGTATGATTAGATCCCAACCTGTGGCTTTGGAGGAGGTTTAGGCTTAGGCTTAGGTTTAATAATAGGGGGCAGTTTTGGTAGGTGATTCCTTGCTTCATCCTGCACACCCAGTGTTCCTCCAGCACCTCTGGGCTGAAGTGAGTCTGCTTCCATGATTTCAATGATGCCTTTAAAGGTTACACACATGATCAGTACTTATTTACCATCAGAATTGTGCAACTTAAATGTCAGCTATTGCGTTACAGAATAATGATTTACCTCCCATCATTAACAATATTATGTGACTCAATCAGCAGGATTCATTTGCATTCAGTACATATCCTCATATCCTCCTGAGATCCAGGGCAAAGAAGGTTTATCAATTTTTATTTTTTTTTAACATAAATTAAATGTTGGGATGGTAAAAAGCATACCCTCACATACAGTATGTGATGTCAACTGTCGTCTTTAAGGAACAACAAGACCTAAAAGAGTAGCATGTATAGTATGAAAGATAAAAGCAAAAATCTAATGTCCTCTACACAGGACAACTGCTGGATCTCAGGAGGATAAATACATATTAACATACTCAGACATTTTTATTTTGAATTCCATCATGTCTAAGATATTTTGAGTAGTACTTTATTGGGTCAGGAACCGGGGGAATTACCATCTAGACGCTGGATTTCCTCATATTGTTTCTGCTGCTCACGGCTCAGATTTGCCTTCTTAGCTGATCTGAGGTATAAGTACGCTTGGTCTCCATCCTTCCGCACCCCATGGCTGTAAAGCGACTCATCGTCATGGGCAAGCCGCTTGCCAATTACCCAGGCCTGCAGGCTTGGATGGAATCCAAAGTCCTTGTTCACCTGTAAAGACACAGACCACATCAATAAGGCAAAGAGCACCAGATATCCAGAGGCCAGTTCGTTAATTTTGGCGCCCCACTTAAAAAGTCACCGCCCCCCTCCAAGTGTAATGACTGTTTGTGGTTTGTGGGCCTCATGCACATGTTTACTTTGGTGATGACAAAGACAGCCTCTGCAGATATCAGCCCCATAATGTACACTCTTCGGGGCATGTTTCACATGGATCATATGATTGCAAGGGGGAGGAGTGGTAAATGGCCCTTGGAAGACATTTATTATTATTAAACATTTATTATTCAGAAATTAAAAAGTGGGTTATGATAAACCTTTTCTTTCAGTTCTGAGATGGTCATATCTGCTGTCACTGTCAATGTTATGGGAGCAGTTAATTCTTGAATGGCGTCTTCAATTCCAACCTTTAGCCTGAAAGACCAAAACTTTTTTAATATATGTGACATTAGACAGATTAGACTGATAGATAGGCAGATATTTTGTTCACATACCGTATCTGGTTGTCGGAGTACGCTTCACCGCGGATCCTGACGGATACCGGCAGACTTAACTCCGCCAGTAACGCCGCGTTTTTCGAGGAAGTTTCTATATCACCACTGCTGAGTGCTTCGCTTAGGGACCGAGCTAAACCCTCCGCTGTTAATTAAGAAGGAGATACAGATGTGGCCGATGTTAAGGCTATGTGTTTTAGCTTATTTACAAAATGATAAGTCTATACGTTTCATAATGCCGCCTTCACATAGCAGATATTCATCTACACATTTGAAGCTCTATGTTCGATCATTTACATGAAAGTAAATTATAGCCTATCGTAGGAGTGCAACCATATGCACCCTTTAACGCAGCTTTAAACTGGTGCCATAACCAGTGTTCTTACCAATTTTCAACAGATCGGAATCTGGAACTTGAGGCGCAGCCATTTCTTACTGTCAAATGACCTGTGCAATAAACACGCATAATAATACATAATAATAATGCAAAAATAATAATTAAATTGAAAACGAAAGTGCTTTGTCAATACATTTTTACACCACACTTGTTTACGCAAATTTTTTCTAAAAGTATTGCTGATCGTCATCATGGTTGATCATTAAATGTATGAACAGTACTAAAAGTACTGAAACATATTTCAATTACGCCAGTAGGCTAATTGTATAGTCAAGTAATGTCAGTAGATCAGTGCTCTCGTTAATTACCATGTTCTTACCTTTATGTGCCAAACTATCTATCTACATACTCTTTGCAAGAAGTGAATAATCAGTTTCTTTCAGAATGAAAAGCGAAAGCAAAGTAAATTCCAGGAAGTAGGCATTTAAAGGGACCCTTTACAAAATGAGATGGACCGTAGCTGTAGCCAGAGTCTACAGTATATGAAGACTGTCGGGCATGGGCGTAAATTATGAGAGGGATGGGGGGAGTTGTAACCCCCCTAATAATCAAAACCAGCAAATACAACCCCCTGGACCTCCCTAAATGGATGGAGAATTCACCCCCCCCCCCACCACAAATGATCAACCGAAAGTTAAGCGCGTATACTGTCAGGCATAAATAAAAATTAAAAGATAGGTTAAAACTGTAAAACGTAATTAACAACAATAAACAGACGACTAAAGTCTTCAGATTTGCATATCTGTTAAAACAGCCCAATTTGCCTTTCACAATAATAAGCAATTATATAACAATAAATCATTCTGAGAATTTATAGATTGACGACTTACATTAACAATTATGAATTAATATTTTACTTGGGATCTGGAAGCACTGAATAGAACGTACGGTGTCATATATGTTTACTGGCTTACAGCAGCTCCAACAGTAGAAACACACATTTGGGGAAAATAATATCGAAAGCTGAAAAACTAGTTTCTAGCTGAAAATTCTTATATCACAATAAGAACTGTGACATTGAATTGAACTGTAATCACGAACGTATATTTAAATTATGGTAGGCCTACTCACTACTGTCGTAATGAAAATGCGCAGGTCGCAACAAATATGTCATAGAATTCAAAATCAATGCTAAAACAAGAGCAATATAGTCAGTTACAATAATAAAATTAATTTGCATTTAAAACATTTTTGGAGAAGGGTAAATTCTAAGAAAATCTCACGGCATTACATTTAAGTATCTTTGAATAAAACTTGAGATCGAATTATATTAAATGAAAAGATGCACACAAGAGGAAAAGCGTCGCAATGTGCGTTTGTGGCGCCACCGCCTGGTGTAGGTAGCGCACTACACATTATTTATACAAAAATAAAGACGTTTGAAGGAGCGAAAGGTTTCCGCATGTGTAGCTAGTGTATGACACACAAATTGGGAGATTTCAGATAAAAAAAAGTCAGCTGTTGCAGCGAAGGCTTTAATAGCCTTGAATATCAATTCAAACTAGGATTAAAGAGCTGGGATGAGGAATTTGGAATTCCGTTTCAGTTTATTTAATGGACGGTACTGGAAATTTCATAGTAAAAAGGAAGACATTTTTATTAGACAGAGTAGCATAAGCCTTCGACAACGATCGATACCGCGACCGTAAACTTGAATTATTTTGTATCTTACCCGGAATTTTTCCATTGCAGATCGTAAGTGTTAGATATTACTTCGCCGACGGGCGAGTGGTGAGCGAAAGCCGCCGGAGTCGCTCTTATCGGCCGGTGTGTAAATGGAGGCTCGGCCGAGGATATAAAGGCCTGGGGGGGAAAGTTATCGCTTCTCTTATCAGTTTGCATGAAATATTACCCGATCGGGAAATAAAATAAAAAGTGAAACGGGGAGCTTGGGCTGTAACTGTGCGCATTGGGCTGCTTGGTGCATCGCGGGTGATTTGCGCGTCTACTCCCCGCGTCCGACTCCTGTCACCTGCGCCTAAGCTCGGATCGTCCCCTGCAGGGGGTCGCGGAAGCTAAAAAAACAAAATGAAGCTGTTGGAGAATTCAAGCTTCGAGGCCATAAACACGCAGCTGACCATAGAGACCGGAGACTGCCAGATAATAGGGCGGTAAGTCCGTCCCGGACAGCTTTATGCCCCCCCTCCCACTTTTGCAGAAATACGGACTTAACTTGCAGTTTTCAAATTGTAATTTCAGGGATATTTTCCTGTCAGTAGCACAGCATTTGTTCACTGGGAGTCTTTCTGTTTTGGGATACTTGTTTGTACAGAAATTAGTACGATTATTTCTACTACTAGTACTAGTAATTAGTATTATTATAATTGTTTATTTGTTATTAATTGTTATTTTATATTTTACTGTTAATTTTAGTAGTTGTAATAATATTAAGAATTCATTAATAGCAAAGTGCTATTTTTATTATAGGTGCTGTTTATTTTACAGAGTGAGTGGGAGGTGTTTATGTATGTTGTGCTGCATTTCTGTATGTGATATGTACTTGTAGTGCATGAGACTCCTTTACCTTGTCCTTAGGATCGAAAGCTACTCCTGCAAAATGGCAGGCGAAGACAAGCAGATGTTCAAGCAGTTCTGTCAGGAGGGGCTCCCACATGTGCTCGAAGCTCTGTCCCCTCCCCAGACCACAGGGATCAGTCCCAATAAGTAAGGTCACAGTCTACATGCAAACCCACGGCTGGGCTTTATGCTTTATAAAATGTTTCTTTGTTATTAAAATTCACCAAGCCCATTTTTCTTCATCCAGCCTGCAGAATTTAGTTTAGGAACCTACGTGTTTAAATTTGCATGCTGTGTATTCTGTAAGCTTATTTTGAAGCAGAACCAGGTTTCGCAAATAAAGCACCTTGGATCTAAAGAACTCGAAGGCACACATTCCCAGAGCTGTGGAATCACGCTGTATTGTTTTTTTTAAATGTGTCGGGTTTGAACATCTCCACTCTGCCTGTTGGTTTCTGTTGCTCCTCTCTTGAATGGTGGTAAGACCGGAGAGCTGTGTGAAACAGAAAATTTCCTAATATAGACACACTGAAACACTTGCTACTTGCAAAAAAGCAATGTCAAGTCACCCCACCCAACACCCCACCCCCCAACTTTCAGGCTGAGCCAAAGCCAAAGCGGCGACGAGGCAGAGGGGCCTCTCTCCGACAAGTGCAGCCGCAAGACGCTCTTCTACCTGATCGCCACCCTCAACGCCTCCTTCCGTCCCGACTATGACTTCAGCCGCACGAAAAGCCATGATTTCAGCAAGGAACCCAGTGTTAACTGGGTGAGGGTGCATGCCGACCAATCCAAAGCTCTGTCTGAAGGAAGTGACAGTCACGTATAGTATTAAGCGATTCAGTTGGTTCAGAGTTACTGCAAAGTGAATGCAGTCACCCTTTTATAGGGAACACTGTGAAATGAGACTTTCCTTGGGTCCTGGATGCCCCTTAAGGCCTGTTTGTGTCTGCAGGTGCTCAATGCCGTGAACAGCAGCCTGTCTTCAGCTGCAGGGGGTGAATTCAGTCGTCTTCAGCCCCAACTCTGGCAGGCAGTCGATGATGAGATCTGCCTCTCGGAATGCGACATCTACAGGCACGTGTGGCAAATTGCATCCGCTGTCTTTTTGCAACTTTATGTTGTGTTTTTGTTAATCTTTATATAGCGACATGAGTTTTTGACGTTAAGTCTTCACTCAGCTGAGTATTTTCCAATGAGGTTCAGTACCTTGCTTGAGGGAAATGCCATTCGGGAATGAAAGTTTCTCCAATTTTGTTTCTTACGTTCTTATGTTACCATGTTTTTATTTTGCTAATAGCTACAGGCCCGACCTGGATTCAGACCCATACGGGGAGGAGGGAAACCTCTGGTCATTCAACTATTTCTTTTACAACAAGAGGCTCAAGCGGATCGTCTTTTTTACATGCCGTTCTGTCAGGTGAGACTAGGGGGCGCCGTTCTGTCAGGTGAGACTCGGGTGCCGTTCTGTCAGGTCAGGATGGTGGGCGCCATTCTCTCAGGTGAAGCTAGGGGGCGCTGTTCTGTCAGCTGAGGCTGGGGGGCGCCGTTCCCTTGTGTCATCCGGGCTGCCTCACCATAACCACTGTTTTTTCCACTCCCATGCATACGTTTGACATACTGCTTGACATGGCAAATGGTGGCTTTGTGTGGAAATCGGCAAATTAAATTACCTTATGAGTTCAGAGGGCTTCATGTGTTCTTTGCGTCAGTGTGTTCATGACTCCAGTGGACTCTGAAACTGGGAATGACCTGGATCTGGATCTAGAGGAGGGGAGCTTTGAGGAAGAGGAGAACATTGATGAGGACAGGTGAGCATCCCTGGTCAGGTAACCTCTCCCCATCATCTGCATGGCACCTCAAGCAACACAGAGCTTATCGCCTGCCCTCTCTCTCACTGCTTCAGTATGGTAAGGCAGCCTTAAAAACGTATATTGGCAAGTATGAGCGTATTTATGTTGTAACTCCTGAATAATCAGTCAGCTGTCCGTTTTGACTCACAGTTATGACATCGAGGCTCATTCAACGTATAAACCTGCTTGCCCAAGCCCTGTATTGCAGTCATTCATACAGCGAGTTGTGCTGAGTGGACGTTCTGTGGAGGTCGTCTCACAGGCTAATGCCGGCTTCATCGTGGTGCCTTTTCTTTCTGCAGGTGTGACACGTTGTGCACCTGATGAATCCAGGGCTGAACATTCCGGAATCTTCTTCTCTGTAGCTACTCTCCAGTACGCCTGCAGTTGAGACACCAGCATTTTTGATAAAGCATTTAACTCAACATGCATTTTGCCTGAAGTTGGTGTGTTAATTTTTCAGCTTTTGAGATTGGAAATCCGACTGCATGCTAGAGTGTGAGGCAGTACCATAGTAATTAAGCTGATTGTTCCAGCAATTCTTTATTTCATAGCTTTTTTCTTGCACAAGCTTGCACTACTCTGCCTTGTCCTTAGGCATTCATTTTATTTATATTGAGGATATATCTTTACTTTTATATGAAATGTTTTTATATTAAACGTTTTTACTTGCAAGTCAGAGAATAATATTCCTTCTGTGTATAATATCACCATAAAATCCTACAGAAATGTATGCTGAGATGAGAATGGACTTTGAAACTGTATAAGAATTTTACTTTGTGTGTGTGTGTGTGTGTGTGTGTACATATAATGTATATTGGCTATATGGTTAGGAGAGAATTAAAAAAAACAAACATTATTTTTATTGGGTGTTGCTGGTGGCTTTGTTGCAGTGTATGCAGTAACATGTTCATGTTCAAAGAATTGTTTCTCTGCCAAACCTGCTTCATCATTCCAGTCTCGGTAGCCCTTGTATAGTGTGAGGCCCTTTCTGAGCCTTGTCATTGATACTTAAGAATCAGGACATCGACAAAGTTAGTGAAATTCTCTTTAAAGTTCTGTTTTTGGACACTAGATGTCACCAGTTCATCATTTCATCATAGTCTCTACATATAGACATATTATCACTGTCCACTTTATATACTTCTCTATGTATGTATTGAGGTTTTATTATAAGATTTTTCACATTCTGTCTTGAAGCTGAATGTTGAAGGTGTTTTCCAGCTGTATTAGTGATTAAACTTTCACGTTAAAAGAAACCACTGGTTTGAAGTTGGTAAGCATCCATACTATATGGCTTTTGCGTTTTGCGGTGTGCTGGGATGGTTCTGGCGAATTTTATAGAGTCCTGAGGCCATAACTGTAAGAATCATAACTTAAAAAAGTGTAATGAGGTCTTGAGACCTGAATTTAGTTGTTTTCACCAGATTGTGGTGATGAATAATTTCTTTAAACAAGCGACCACACCTGTGATCAGTGAGTAGTCAGTTGCTGGCTTGTAATGTAGTATTGGGTTAATTCTTTTGTCTTGGCTTTTAATTTAACCAAAGCTGGGCTTGAATTTTACATTTTTTGCTTGTGTTTTGACATGTGAGTAATCTAAGGTGTTGCAGAAATTCCATTTCTTCAGTGGGCAGTATTGGGCAGATTACCTGTTTTTGTGTGGGGTTTTATTTTGTTAGCGTACTGTTGGCCATGATAGTTATTTAACACAATATAGTCTTTGTAAATTCCAAATGAATCAGAGTAACTCTGGCATGATGCCCTTCATGCCGAGGTTTATTTTCTGTGTTTTTTTGTTAATAACCCATTATGCTAGGTGTACAATTGTAGTTTTCCTAAATAAACCTAGTTAAACTAAAGTATAATGGATGTAACGAAGTGGGCTTCATACTGAATGAACAGAATTAGCTGTAGGGTATGTTCTTAAGAAGTATGTATCTCATTTCATTTGTAATAGGGTTAAGAACATGAATAGCATGACTTTTTGTACTAGGGGATTGTAATGTCTTTGTTTTGCAGTCTAATAATAGTACTATCAAGGTATTGTAATAGTTTCATAAGGCTTTCATTAGAATTGCAGTGTGAGAAGGCAGCTACTGTTATTTGCTGAACTTGTGAACTATGATTGTGTTTATAGCTTGGTTGTGTTTTCATGAAATGGGGCCCCCAGATAATGTTTGTTTAATTCTGAGTGACTTCTATACAGGATCTTAAATTCTATATTTCACTTTAACTCTGTACATTTGACCTCAGAAACATATGAGTTCAAGTAGAATTCACAGTGAATAAATATAGTTAGAAATGGGTACCAAATGCAATGGGACAAATGACAAACTTGTAACCTTTCACTTAACAGTTGTGAAAAAAATAACCTCCAAATGTGTTATATATATTTTTTTTTTACAGTTTTTGTTGTCTTACATATACATACATTTCTCTTTATTTCTGTATGTATATAAGTATAAAGTACATTTGAGTTTCTCAAAGCTATTATGCTTTTACTGGATGTCTGATCCAATAAACATTCCTCCTAAACATCTCTGTCCTCACTGGTGTATTTGCATTTGTTTAATAATTCTCATTCCAGATATAGACATACAGACTTTCACATGTCAATTTAAAATTAAAGCCTGGGTTATATTTATTTTTACTGCACTTATTTTAATATGTTTAGTTTCAGTTTTTCTTAAAAAGACCTGAAACATTTATTGTAGTGTTTGTTTTTAACCCTTTTAATTTAGTTTTTAGAGTGTTTTTTTTTTTATTATTATAGACTGATAAAGTACCCTCCGAATATTACCCCCCCTTAAAAAAGAAAAATAAATAAACAGAGTAATAAAAGCTAACTTTTAGGACTAATCCTTTAATTATTTAAGGGCAGTAGAGAATTTAACTTCTGAGGGGATTTTTGCAAAAGATTTGTTTTTGTTTAAATAAATGGAACGTTTTCCTAAACAATAATGACTTCGCCCTGAGTCTGTTTGAATGCTGTGTATTTCCTAGTCATATAGTGCGGCATGCGATACAGAACAGCGACATGGAAGTTCCGACTCATGAAGGCCTCCTTACCAATTGATGAAATGTCAAAACCCTCACCACACGAAAATACTCCTCCCTTACCACACCTGATTTTGGTGAATAGACGCTTCTGTAATAGTGAAAGAAAAGCACATCCTCATAGCGGACAGTATTAAATAGAATATCCTGCAGTAAGGAACACAGCCGTCAGTGTGGGACATATCACATGGTCTCTATGGGAATGATGTTGACTGAGGCAAAATGTCACATCCTGTCAGACATACTTATCCTGGCATTATGAGTCCGAGTTTCTTCCAGCCTTCCCAGTATACTGCTGGGTTTTGCGGGGTGACATTACATAGCTAGTGCAATGGCGTATATCCTTATATCCATCTGATAGGAATATGCAGGTTACACGAGGAGACGTACTGTAGCAGGCATCTGCTCAGAGGCCAAGCTCTAGTAACACAATATCTACACACAAAACACTGGGAAACCTGAGCTTATCAGCACCATAACCATTGCCAGTGTTTATCATCTATTTCATTCATAAACAAGGCAGGCTGACAAATCACTTTATGGCTATGAAAACATTTGGTTTTCAATTGAAGAACTTGCACAAGTCTGAAGGTGTTGTTCGCTCTTTGAATAGCTTACAGGTTACACCCAAAATCTTTTTCTTAAAATGTGTCAGGTAAAACCAGAAATGCACAAAAATACTAGATGCCAGTTTTCCTGGAAACATCACTGGCCTGCAAGGGGTTTGGGGGGGGGGGGGGGGGGGGGGGGGGGTGGAAGTCTCCACCCATGACAGGGGAAACATGATTATGGTGGTGGTTTGCAATCTCCACACAGAGAACAGGGGTGGAATTCTAAGCCCCTCCCCTGGAAGTGTGAGGCACCCTATGGAAATTAGTTTTGCAATATGAACAACTAGTTGAACAGAAGTTTAGCTGATGATGCGTTTGACACATTACTTATTAATCTAAATAGGGTTAGGTTATCTTTAGAGTTCTCTCTTGCATTGGTCAATCAGTATACAAAAATTGTTTTACCATGCAGTTTTAAATCTGGTTTTAAGTCTGTCCTGGGTAAAAACACATATATATCAGGATAAAGAAACATTTGCTTCTTGAGAGGAAGACAAAGACTGTCAGAATTAATCAGAAACCCTTTTTGAACATTATATAACCAAATAGGCTGTGATACATTTTGCATTACTTTTGAGTTCTAGTCATTTCTAGTGATATTTTCATGGTAGTTTCCTGGAACTAGTCAACACTGTATTGTTTCGTATATTCATTTGTAGTTACATTTTTGTTCATTTTTCAGCTGGTGAAAAAAACTATAACACTTCATATAACATGTAAAACACGTCCTATTAATGCCTGTGCTCATTTTTTGCAGATGTAACAAAGGACAAAGTGATCAAATGTTTTGTAGCAAAATAGTAAGAATGCAGTTTTTGCTGCTCTACAATTCTTCTAGAAAGGAGGACAAAAGAATGTTTTTTAGATTTTTATTTCTTATTGGCAACAACAAAAAATATACACTTATTTTAAGGGACTTATTACACACCCCCAAAACAAAAACAACCATGTAGTGTGCATTTTCTCTGCATAATAAGTTTATTTACAAAATTCACAAAAAAGGGTGGTGATCTGAATGCAAGAACAATAACATGGCGGAACACAGGAAGTTATGCAGGTTCCAGGTCCGATTCTTCGTAATGCCTCACTACGGCCCGCAAACCGTGACTCCGCCAGCTTTAGACTGGGGTTTTGTACAGGTACCAGTTCACTGTCACCCTCATCCAGATCCTCTCCAGAGTGGCGCAGACACGGACATTATGTGGGACTATTATTTGTGAACTTGGACAGCGTGCACAGGACGACATAGAGCACATTCTTCATACAAAAAGAAACCCTGCACTTCAACAAATGGGTCATTTTCACTGTTACAGGCAGAATGTCAACCTATCGCCATCCACAATGACAAAAGGGTTCAGTTTACAAAGGTCTATACACTGAAGAAAGCTACAGATGATTCTTTGGTTACAAAAAGCACCTCATATTTGGTTCTGTCTATGTCTGGTGAAGATAAATAAGAGGGATAAAACAGGAACTAGAAGACAAAAAGGCACTTAAACGGTCAGATCTAGATTTTCACTGCAAACTATGCAAACAGTACTAAAAAGGGCACAAATATTCTTGTGCATCAAGTATTCCAGGATTGGTTAACATTAGAGGTAACTCACACCGGCCACTTTAGACCTAAAGAGACAAATTGTCTCCTGCAAGCCTCTTCCATCGACAGTTTTGCTCACTCTCGAAATGGAAAAGACTACATAAAGGGATAAATACTGGTATGAATTGGCTGGACGATGCAAGGGCGGGTGGCTGGATTCGGGAGAGGATCGTTTTCAAATTAAGTGGAAGGTCGCAGAATGTCGCTATCGCAGGTCCGAGCAGCAGACGTGAAGCCACTGGTCTTGTCAGGTGTTTTGTCAACTTCAGCTATATCAAGGGAAATCGCCGAACCACAATGAAAACATTACAATCCTAAAAATGCCTCAGAAAAGACTTTTCATCTTTCCCCTGTCAGCTTTGTGTGGTTCTCCATTAATAGAGAATCTATTTTTGTTTTCTGCAGGTAAAACACTACTCTCACCACCGGAGAACATGAAGAGGAAAATGTAGACTTCAACAAGGTCTCTCTTTTATTCATTTTACTTTGAATTACAGAAAGTCCTCATCTTCATTTTTTCCAAAGTCTGGTACGACTTGGTCCGTGCAGTTCCTAGGGGTGAGGTGGCTGCTGGTGGCCAATAGGCTGGGAGAATTCAGCCAGGGATGCAGCAGAATGTCACTGGACTCCAGTCTCTCTGAGGGGGCCTTCCGTAACATGCACCTCACCAGACACTTGGCGCTGGCAGAGAGCGAGTCCGGCACCGTGAATACCCCCCGACGGATTTTGCCGAAGAGAGCTGCAGGCTCCACGTCCTGGAAGGGGTAGCGACCCACCAACATGGTGTACAGCACAACGCCGAGGCTCCACACATCCGCCGCCTTCCCTGAGTACGAGTGCCGTGAGTTGAGGATCTCTGGCCCGACATAGGCCGGGCAGCCATGTTTGTCAGTCAGGGAATCGTCCTCCCCTTTAAGGATGCACGAGTCCTCCAAATCCTGCAATACCAGCTTCGTCCTGTAGGGGCAGCAGAAGAAATGTTACTCACCTCCCCCATTCCCAAAACACTGGAAGCCGTTAAATATAAATTTGAATTCTCTCAGGTCATTACTGTGACATTTGTACCACCTTGCTCCTACAGTGAAAGTTAGTCGTGACAGGTTACGTAAGCAGGAAGCGCTAGTTCTTTTTCTGGAACTTAACAGTTTGCTTCACACGTCTATTTGCATTAAGTCAGTCGAGGGAAAAAAAACTAAAATGCACATTAATATCTGACAGCCCACAGGCAAACAGATGCACAGCGAAGCGACTTGCTAACATAATGTTTCTATAAACAGCAATGGTATAGAGCGATAGCATCAGGCCTGGCAATAGCTAACACTCGCGACTCGAAGAACTAACATATGCAAATCAGAATGCATGCTGCAAATATAAATGGACATGTCCAGATACTCTATACTTCTGCTGAGAATATACAAGGTTATTAAACTGCTAATCTATGACTGTTTCTCATTATAGCCCAAAGCCAAAGTGTGTGGTAAGCTAAGTTTGGGGTCCATTTTTTAGCCAGGAAACTAACCTACACAGTACTGACTTTTAATACGATATAACCACACACCATGGAGGGATTTTCGATCTCGCATAACAGAGCATTTTGCCCGCTCTTGTTTGCACCATTGCTATAATATCTTGGGTCGCGTGGAGCTGAGTGCTGATGACTCAAATATGCCCGTCGCCCCCGCAGGCCTGTCTTGTTTTTGTGGCCCCACGGGAGTTCAGTTTCGACGCTCTCACTTGCTCAACACGCAGCCTGACATTTCCGTCAAGCTCTCGACGGAATATGCACGCCACTTGAAGGAAAGCCAAGTGGATGACGGAGAGTAGAGACCCCTCGGCTCACGGACCGCGGCCATCACGTGACGCACGTAGCTGGTGCTCGCGGGCGGGAATGCGGCTGCCGTCGGGATCCATTACCAGAAACAGAAGCAAGGCGTCTTCCCGCTGACTATCTACCTTTCAACCGTTTTACGCAACTGTATGTTTTTTAAGATGTATGGAAACCCAATAGGCCTAACTGGACAGCAGATACAGACAAAATCATCTCTTAAATGAAAAACTGATCGAGGGTACCGCATATCTGAACCAGACCTCAAAAACCCACCCACCCTCCCCAGAAATGCTTCTTTAAAACTGTCTGAATATACTGGCTTCATTTCATTGTTGTGCATCCAGTACTGTAGTAGCATCCTGCCATCAGTACTCCCTGCTACTGCCTGATAGTTTAATAGACAGACTCGGATTGGACATCACCTTATTGATCAGTGGGGATACT